CGGTCCGCGGATAAAGTTATGACGTATCAGCACCGACACTGGTTCTTCTGGAGGCTTTCTCGGAACGAATCAGACCCTCCCGGCCACGATGTGAGTTTCTTGCATCAATCATGATTGCAATGGGATTCTAAAGCAAAACGTATAGCTACAAGTTCGACGTTGATCCACAGACGCAGGCGTTTACAAACCGCAGAGTGTTCGCATACTCTGATTCCGGTATTCCCGATGGTATTCAGCTTGATGCCACGGGAAACGTTTTTTCAGGTTGTGGCGAGGGTATCCACGTTTGGAATGCTGAAGGGACGCTCATTGGGAAGTTCTATCTTAACAGCACCGCAGCTGAGATGATCTTCACGAAGTCTGGTCTCGTTATTTTAGACGCGGAGACGATATATCTGGCAAATATCCAAGCTCAGGGATTGGATCTTGCCACATTGTAGAATCGCTGCGTAACCGCCCTAACGTGTTACATACAACTATCTGGATAGCATAGCACAACTTATCATGCTTCCATGTTCAGTGTGAGAGAAGTTAAAAGTGCGCTCTGCATATGATGCATCTCACACCCCGTTAGAGGAGTGTCTCCAGGCGTACTCCTACATGATAGTGACGTGCTCTACGTTCGAACTGTACACCCCCTTCACCAAGTCCGCCAATCAAGCGCTCGCAGCAGCAGAGAGCGGCAACGGCGACCAGGCGATGAACAAACGCTGGGAATTCCTGAAGAAGTTTGAGTCTAACTTTAATCGCTGGTGAGCGTCCCATCGTCTGCGTGCGGTATTTAGAAAGTGAGATTCTGACGCTGCATGTCTTTAGGTTTAAGGTGATGTTGTTTCATTCACGCGGTTACCGCATTCCCGGCTGACAATTTTTTGTACAAGTTTCAGCTGGACTACGTGCAATACTACGCATCGAGTGAGAATGCCAGTGTGTCATTGCTTCCTCTTGTGGTGCGGTTGAGTAGCATCAAGGCGATGTCATAGCATCAGTCATATCGATGAGAAGTGGGTCCTGATGAGTGACAGAGAATGACGCCCAAAAAATCGGTTAGGTTTATTGCTTTGTTACTAGGTCTGTCATCGTTGCATTTTGTTCTTCTAGCCATGCATGATATATATGTCGCTACATACTATTACTTAGGATGTGAGGAACACCTAGCCTCCTGTAGTAAGACCATTCGAGAGAAGATAGTTGTTCCTTGATATGACTCGGACGAGAGCCAGCTAGCACTGAGCAGGCTACGATTGACATACCGTATAATTTAAACAGGCACTGAGAGCACTTGAGGCGACAACACACGAGCTGGGAAATGCAATGCGCAATGGTAACAATAATGCTGAGTCTAATATATGTCTACAGTTAAGTCACAAAGAGTGAGACAGCCGGGATCGTATTACAACGTGTCAGAAACCAAGCAATCAGATAAAATCAAGATATGTATGTAGATATACAAGGAAGTCACTTTTTGGGCAAGGCTGCGGCGATGCCAGACCTAGTACGATGAATGACTCTCACAAAAAATAAGACATATAGCTATAACTCACCTGCATAGAACCTAGCGTCAAGTTCAGTAGTTGGTGAACTCATAGCTGGAGTCGTGGACCCCAAGTTCCTCCGAACTGCGCTTCCCTTCATCTCTCTCCTGTAGTTGGTGAACTCATAGCTAGAGTCATCAACTGCAAGTTCCTGCGAGGCGCGTTCCCCTCACTCCTCTTGTAGCTGGAGAAGTCATAGACCTTGTCATTGACGCCAATTTCCTCCGAGTCGCGCTTCTTGTAACTGGCGAAGTCATAGAAGCTTGTCATTGACCGTCAAGACCCTCCGAGTCCCGCTTCTTGTAACTGGTGAAGTCATAGACCTTGTCGTTGACGTCAAGACCCTCCGAGTCGCGTTTTCTTGTAACTGGCGAAGTCGTAGAGCTTGTCAATGACGTCAAGACCCTCCGAGTCGCGCTTCTTGTAACTGGCGAAGTCATAGAGCTTATCATTGACGTCAAGACCCTCCGAGTCGCGCTTCTTGACATCTAGCAGCTTGTCAACCATCAGCATGATGATGAGTTATGAATACTCCACTGGAACGTTTCGCGATGCCAGCAGCTCCTTGTGTGGGCTACGCTGTAGCAAGAAACCACGAAGGATGCGAGCACGCTGAAGACAAGAGAAAGCTTCATGTTTGAGTTAAGAGGTGCGACTGGGTGACTCTGTCGATGTATTACATTGGAATCTTCAAGAGCACTTTATACCTTTTCGTAGGTCCGCTCATGACTCAGGTCACCTGAATCGGCTGAAGCCTTATTTTCACCCAGAGCTTTTGCAAGGGATTGTTCTAAGTGGACAGTCGCGACCTGTGACAGTAGTAAGATTGAGCTGCCAGTCTCATTGAGGAATCACTGAGCGCCCACATTGATCCTAACGAGGCACTGGACATCAAACCAGAATTCTCATCTCCGGAGGGGTTCACTGTATGGGCAGTCTTGTCACGCGGGAAGGTGATATGTAAGGTTAAGAGGGACTGCATCAGAGGACAGCTGCAGATATCATCATATTTAATTTTTATATGCCGATATATGAAGGTTTTCGTTATAAGTAATTGGAATATAAACAACTTGCACAAGTCCGCATCGTCTTCACGTTGACAAGTCAGGCTACAGCTGCCTTATTTCGCACATTTGAAATTTACCTACCCACTTTGCTTATGTGGAATGGTTCACGCCATTCAGGCAACCTGAAGCAAACCATGGTTTGTATAAAATTTCCCACCTCATTCGTAATGGAGAGCGTCTGGCAAGCATCATTGACATTTCTGATATTCGCAGGAGTGTACATGATGCATCTTATTCCAAAATTCGGCCCTGTAGCACCTCGTGAATGGACCAGTAGTACCGTTTTGGAGCTTTGTTCTACCTTCTTCGTAAACTCGTTCAGTGACAGGCATGCTTATTTAACTATTATCCGACTAGTAGAATCGTCTACATTCTTCTGAAATACAATGATTTCTGTGAAAATACTACATTTCCTGGAATTCAAACCGTTTTAAGCTCGAGTTTGAATATTTCGGTGAATTTCCTGGCGGAGGTTTTCCCTGATGTTATAGAAAATATGCTGTGAGTCCGGATATCGGGCGAAATGCGGTCGTATGTGCTCTGTCTCTCGAACGCGCATCTCAATATATTCAGCCCTATTCGGGCACAGTCAATTCTCACTGGGTTTGAGGGATGATATCTGATTGATCCAAGCAGATATTTCAGCATGAATTCCAGCAGGATACCGATCGATGGGATCAAGGTAGAAGTTCTTCATGAAATCGCAAAGCAGTGACTCGCGCGGTCCGTCGGCGGAATGTTTGAACGCTGCAAAACATCGATCGGAGAACTGTTCGTGGTCTTGGCAACGTGCTAGTGCAATATCCAGGGTGTTCTTAGCATTGCTTCATAGAAGATCGTAGATGTACTAACACAGATTTGAACAGCGCCCAAGTACTTGTGAAGACGTTTTCTCTCAAGGTTACTGATGCTCAATCACAACATCCATAACCTTTCTTCCAATTGGTGTACACGCTAATAAAATGCGACCACAAGTATATTATGTGTCATATGCAGTTTCCTGTCATAGGACATGGTCGACGTGTGAGGTGATAAGGGCAATCGTACAAAGAAGTGGGAGGTAGTACAAATCGGAATGGGACATCTGGGACGCGATGAGCGGAAGTCCGAAGATGTCTTGAACAGATTACCTTCCGCATCCACGTGCATGTCATGGGAACTTACGAGGGTCGAAGTGGATGACCTATTCAGGGAGGACAGACACAGATGCTGAAACAAGAGTGTCAAACATCGAGTTGGAATTCGAGGACGAGTGGAACTTTCAAATATGGCTCTGGGAAGCGTCGATGAGCTAGGTGACGAAGGAGCAAGTGGATGTTCCAAATTGGTGGAAAGTGTGCTCATCTCGACGAGAAAGGCCTTGAAAATGAATAGTAGTAAGACAAGTGGGTAGTAGGGAAGGGAAGACATACCGAGAAATGCTCTCCTTACAATCAGCTTCATGAAATTGATCCTACTCTTCGCACATGCCATGTCGAGCAGTTGAGTACGCGTACGTGGTGATGGAAGGGAGTGCCTTTGGCAGGAATACCGCTGACTGCCGCTTTTCGGAATTTTCCTCCTTCAAGAGCGTCCTTCACAGTGTTTGTTTTGAACTCTGACTTTAGCTCCAGAACGTCGTCTCATGGAACCGGCTCGGTCGTTGCTTAGCCGTGCCTTGAATACTATATCGCCCAAACCTCGCCAGCGCAAGCAAAATGATCAGGTATCTCATCTCAATGTTTTTCCTAGATTTAGCTGGCAAGATCAGATCGAAAATCCACCGAATAGTAAAGCTGGACAAAGCGATACACAATCATGGGAAGATTGGCATCGAAGGATCACTCAGTAATGCATCGTCGTTGTGGAATACTTGCAATGCACTGCAGATCAATCGATAAGCCTTAAGCTGCTTCATCATGAGAATTATGGCAACATTACTCACTTGATGCTGCACCCAAGCACATCTTTTTGTGCAAGATAAGACTCCTGAAATGTATCCGAGTCAATACTGGTAGGTGGCCAGAGAGCTACAGACTCACCGTGGACCCCTTCGCGAGACCTCCGACTTCGAGTCTGATAGCCTTTTCGCAGCGGCGCGCTGTCCCCTTCACAGCCTTCACACGACCATATTTTCAACCACTGGCTATCACGTGTCTTGTGCATCTAAGTATCGCGTCGCCGTCCGAATCTGCAACTCGAGTCTCGCATAGTTGTCCATTAGTATTATATGATGCTTGACAAGGTTTCTTTTCCCCCCCCGACCGACTGATCGCGCTAGATTACATAATCAGCGGCTGGCTACCGTCCGGTGAATGTAGAAGGAACAACTTATCTGAATTTCCTGATCCCGTGCGGTATGTAATATTGCTCTCAGCTGGCATCGAAGAGATCATTATCATTTACTAGTAATGGTCATGACGTCGATAGGCCGGCCCATCTTTGAAATTCGGAAATGAACTTATCATTGCGTACTGTCGGGCTACTTTGAGAACGCTCGAGGTGATAACAGAGCTAGCATTACTATCAAGACTATAAAAGTGGGACCGTCAACCATCCCTGAAATCCGAGTCAGGAAACAAGATTGGGAAACTAGTAGCTCATCCGAGCCCGAATCAAACAATGACAAAATCATCAGTGGGTGCGATTCTGGCTGTCGCACTTGCTGCCGCGACAGCGTCGCCGCCTGGAGCAGTTGTGCGTCGACAATTGCAATTCTGCAGTGTCACATCTGAACGTCTGCCTCGCAGTACATCGACCCTCTACTGTACAATGATGTGGGAGCAAACTATACAAAATGGCGCAACTCGTCCGCTATTGGCTTTAACCCCACCAACACTGCACCACCATTCATTCAGGTCTTTGACCGCTCATTCCTCGATATCACCGGACCATTTGCCACCATTCGCAAAATTGCTTCGAATCCTGGCTTTGCTTTTGCCCATGAAGCACCCATCTATGTTCAAGATCTAAACTTGGTCTTCTTTGCGAGCTCTGGTGGTGGCGTACTTGCATACAGTGGCTGGTATAACAACAGCGTTGTTAGCATGATCAACATGACAGAAGTCGACGTAGCGCTGGCTTCTACGACCGGAGATGTCAATATTCAGGTGCAAACAGTGAGTCGCTCCCGCTCGGTCATTGATGCTTAACCGTCATGACTTTCAGCTCAACCTCTCCGATGATGTCCAAATGGCCAACGGGGGAACAGGTCCATACAAGGGAGACCTTCTGTTCGTCACCTCAGGTCGCGCTTTGCTTCCTCCTTCTGTTGTTCGCGTCAATCCCAGCCCTCCCTACAATACCACTGTTATTCTGGACAACTTCTTAGGCAGGCAGTTCAACTCGCTTGATGATATCAAAATTTTCCCTGGCACGGATATTATGTTCTTCACCGATCCCACGTGAGCAATCGATGAGATTATCATATGTACGATGCTAATGGCTTCTTCAGCTACGGGTGGCTTAGCGGTTTCCGTCCTGAACCAATGCTACCATCACAGGTATACCGATTTGATCCGTCCACTGGGCAGGTCAGAGTTATCGCTGACCAGTTTGTGCATCCAAATGGCATTGCATTCGCCCCCAACGGAAAAACTGCCTTCATGTAAGTTTGGATTTTCTCACATCTGTGGATCAATCCTGGAATAACTCATTAGCACCGACACGGGTATTTTGGAGGCTTCCTTGGAACGAACCAGACCTTTCCAGCCACAATGTGAGTTTCCCTCCGCGTGATGGTAATCAGATACTCAAGCAAACTCTAAAGCTATCAGTTTGACGTTGACCCAACGACGCAGTCATTCACGAACCGTAGAGTGTTCGCCTACGCTGACTCCGGTGGACCAGATGGCATTCAGCTTGATACCAAGGGAAACGTTTATGCCGGCTGCGGGGATGGTATTCATGTCTGGAATGACGAAGGCACGCTCATTGGAAAGTTCTACATAAACAGCACTACATCCCAGCTGATCTTCACTAAGTCTGGTCTTGTTATTTTGGAGGAAACAGCGATGTATGTGGCAAACATTCAAGCTCATGGAATGACTCTAGCCACGTGATAACTTTCTGTGTACCGCTATGCCTGTTGTGAATTTGATGTGTATGATAGGATATTCCCCATACAGTGAACATCGTGATCAGTGATATTTGCGCTTTCAACTTTGAAAGTTTTAAACACGCTGGACAGAACTATCCTGTGTCCACATCACTGATTATTCTAGGAAACATTTTCAAGGACTATGGTTCAGCTAAATCCTGATGCTCCCCGCCCAGTGCTTGGTTCGCGCATTGGAATGGTTGCCTTTGTGCGTACTTCAACAGGCGACAGTGTCATAATGTTGTATCAATTACCTATCATTGTAGAAGGTACATGATATATCCCGGCCTTTGACTACAACTGTAGTAAGAAGATGATACATCACAGCCTTGTATTGGTAGCACATCTGCCATAAATTATGATACATCACATTTAAATGATATATCATCACCCCCTTGCAAGTGTAATAAAAAATATTATTTGAGTACATCTCTCCATAGGACATAAAAACTGAATTAATATATATATATTATTTGCATCATGATATATCACATACTTCGGCATTCTTATACTAGGATATACCCGTAATTGTCAGTCAAGTGATATATCAACTCCAGTAGGTTAGAAAAAAGTTTGGTGCATGATATATCACCTCCTACCTCGTGGCACACGCCGTGAGGTAGGAGGTGATATATCCAGCTTTCTAAATTGATACCGGAGCATCCCACATGATATATCAGCAAAATGTGTTACACCTGCAGTGATATATCATTAACCTTGTGTTGGTGCACAAATGCATGACCCTTGTAGCATGATATATCACTTACTACAGTTCACCTCGAGTTGGCGCACAAATGTGACCTTTGTTAGTGTGATATATCACCTGCTACAGTTCCAGGCTGTAGCTGGTACCAGTAGATCAGCAAAATGCTAATAGATGACTTGCCTGCTATACCGTGGTTGAAGTGTTCAAACATTAAGATTGTCATTTAGACTTCGGAATAGGTAGCAGGACTCGTTGGACACCAAACAATCTCAATATTAACATCACTGACATGAGTATATAGGTATAGTAAGTGGGTATCTATATGGCTGGATGCCCTCTTCATTTCCGAGACTTCTTCCTCAGCCCCAAAGCACTGGGCTGCACAGTGTTGTGCTTCCTCTTAGGTGCTGCCTTTGTTCTTTGCTGCAAGCTGGCATCACCAATTTTGTTGGCCTCCGTTGCTCGAGTCAAAGGATGTCTTGGGCGTCCCGAGCATCTAGCTTGTGTCATGACAACGAGTTCTGAGGATATCAAGGGCTCTGAATTATGCACCAATGTGGCCTCGTGGACAGGCAACACATCAACATTGATTGAAGATAAAACTGGCGAGTCTGGGAGTAAGGGCTGGGGTAACAGAGTGCTCTCCAGTGTCAACAATGTGAGTGATGGGGAACACACTTGAGGCTGTGTAACAGCGGCGCTTTGGAGTGCAACAGACAAAGTTATATTTCTGCCATCCACAAAGTCCCTTCTCCAAGATGTGATCAGTGAGTCTAGATCCATTAGAGGTGATGAATGGGGAGATGCATAAGATGGGTTGGGGTTCAGGTAATGTTGCCATTGGTTCCATTGTGGCACAATGTTGAAGTTGGTGTTGTAGATGTGTGTGGATCCCTTGGGCTGCCTTATCAAAGGAATGGGATTAAGTGTCTGGCCAGAGGTATTAAACTCCTGCCTAGGTAGCAGGGGGACACTTGGCTGGCCTGGCAGTTCATCTAGTGAATTGAGGTCCATGGTTGATGGAGGAGATGGAGTTGGTACAGCAAGGTTGGTAGTCGATGGAGGAAGAGACAAAGTGAGTGTGGATGTTGGAATGAGGTCCATGGTCAACAAAGGAGGCGAACTAGGTGCAGATGGTGAAGTGAGGTCAGTAGTTGATGGAGGAGGAGAACTGGATGTGGATGTAGGAACTGAAGTTCCATTTGCAGAAGAACCTATTGAGAATAATCAGTTGTTATGCTATGAACTAATTGAGGATGATACATACCATATATGCGACCCAGGTGTCTTTCAAACGGTAATAAAAATTGTTTGTGGAAGTTAGGCATTGACACCTTAAAGCTCAAACCCTCCAGGGTTTTACCATGATGATAACTAACAATGGTGATGCATCAAATTCTTGTGAATGTAATAGTAAGAAAATGCACCTCAATGTCATGATATCGCCTTTGCACAAAGGGTTGGGTCCACCCATAACAAGTGAGTAGTGCCATCCTCCCGTTAAAGTCGAAAGTTCTTCAAATATCTGACCCAGCACAATGGGCAAATCTTGAATTGTGCTTGATCAGTGAGGAATTAATCAGTTGAAGTCCGACAAAACAAACAATTGCTTACCAGTAAATTTTCTCCTTTATTCAATCTTGCCCCACTGCAACTGATTCCAACTTTCTGGCAGCATTAATATGTACTGTCCCATCGTGAACCTCATCCTTCACATCTTCTGGCTCCTTTGCAAAACATTCACTTGTGTGTTGCCAGACAGCACGAAGCTTTTTATCAGGTAGTACCAGTTTATTCTCCTTGATATCATCAGAAACTAAGGGCTTGACTTTTGACTCGTAGTGAAGTTGCGGGTATACTTCAATTTCCTTTAGGTCTCAGGTGCCTTGTGCATGCTGGCCAAGCAACATGGATAGCATTTTGCTGGTTGACGTCCTGCCAGGTGTAGTCTTTCCACATAATACAGTGACGTATCCCTACACTTATTGGACAGCCCAAGTTGACATTCCTCTACAGGTGTCGGGTCAGCCCATCATGGGCCCACATTACAATATACCTCTCATATAAGGGACAGGCCCATGTGGAATTATGCCCCTATATACTGGGTGGGCCAGAGATAGACAGGCTCCAAGGCCAATGGATGGGCTCACAGTCTACACATTTTAAAGGTACTATAATGTACAGGATAGTAGTGTTATGATATATAGCCTAATACTGTGAGATGGTTATACGACAGTGAAGGGTGGGCCCATATGTTGTTTGGTAAAATCACCAGTACAGGATGATAGGTCCAGCATCTGGCAGCACCTATGAAGACGGTAACACAAGTTGGGATCGCCGACAACAAATATTAATAGGGATAGATGGGTGGGCCCACAGATTGGTTTGTGAAATAGCAGATGCATGTGTACGCCTGCCCAGCGTCCCACATAGCCAATGAATAGATACAGGTGAGAGAGGCCCACCAATACAAAATATCAATGGCAAGCCTTAGCACAATCATTGCGATTACCACCGAGGTCAACTGCCCATGCCCGAATACAAGCCGCCAGAAGGAGCAGCACAGATGAAAGGTGACCAGCCCACTTATCATGGTACAATGCATTTGGAACTATTGACTTGTTTATCTACAAATTGATGAATATCATCCCTACCCCTACATGCAAGTATTACAAGCCATTGGCGATAATTGACTTGTACTTTGAGTAGTCACCTCAGGGTACATCTACAAATTGATGAATATCATCCCTCATGTACCACACCCAGCCTACTCAATCACCATCCACCTTATCCATGCCATGCCTAACAATTCTGCCTGAAGCACCCACCATAACACCTGAATTATAGGCGATTTCAACGCCAATATTGGGCATCTGCATTCGCACCGGTGAATGATTGCCAACACTGGTCATGACATTAAACCACTGAGCTCGGGACAGAGTATCATGGTGCAAGGGTGAACACCGGTTGCACATGACGGCGAGGGCTGTAAACACAGACACCCATTCTCGCAGGCGATTTCCCATTTCCTCCAATTGATTATTGTCTGCCCATAGACTAAGTCCCAGCTTCGTTGTCAATGACGACCAATATAGGCTGGGGTGCATAACTCTCAATGCAGCAGCAATAAGAGCCGCCGGTCTCTGCATTGCCTGGCATAAAGATGAACCACACACTCTGAGGGTTGCTGATACTTCGGGATGAAACTTTGGAGCCTGTGAAGAAATAAGGCTATGCTGTGTGTGATGTTGTCCAGTGCTGACTCACTGGATGAGCTTGTAAAAACCATCCTGGAGAGAGATTAATGCATCCTGGGGTAAGACCTTGTTGACTGCTTTGAAAATTGGACTCATGTGTGTACCATTTCTTGTCCGCTCCACTGCGGGTGACACTCATACCCAGAGGACCTGACATCATCAGGGTCGCCACCATCATATCATTCTAAAACAGTCAGCAAAGATGTTAGGGGAGTGGTATAAACCAACCTGGATTGCTGGATCAATTGCTCCTGGGAGATACCACAGGACAATGACGCCAAATTTGTCTAGGACAACTGCAGGCCATTCAAGTACAATTTCCAATCCAGCAGAAATCGGGCAAGGAGCGATTCTTCATGCCCAAGGTTGAGGCCAGTTTCCATCATCTGCAGTGATTCTGAATACCTGACCATATCAAAGTTGATCGTAACTAACACCGATGGAATTTAGAGCCGGCGCTGGATGAAAGTAAAGTCATACCTGGATTCAGATATGCGTCGGCAAGCATTCTCACCAAATTAAAGCAAGCCATAAATAAGATGGAGTTGAGCTCTGCTGGAGGAAGAACCTTTGGCCTCACTCTGATGAGAGCACAGAACTGGTGGTAGACATAATCACTGGCAAGATGAGTTGTAGCCAACACCCAGTCAGCAGGAATGGGGTTCATGGGGTGAGGGACAGAAGATAAACAGACCAGTCCTGACTTTTATTAGTACAACTTATTGAGTGCCAATGATGGGACGTAATATCATCACATAAAATCGTTCAAGGCCATCGGTGATGAGAACAACATGCCCGAGCTGCGCGATAGCAGTGAACATTATAAACCTGTCCTGATGACCTGTGCAATCATGTGATGGAAATGCTGCTGAGGAAATGTTCTGGAACTGTGGCGAATCTGTGGGAGCTTGTGACTGAAATGCCCTTGACAAACATTTTAATTGGCGGAACTGCGGTGAATCTGTGGGGAGGGGCAGCAGCGAACCTATGTGGTGGTCTAGCACAAAGCAGGCAGCAGCCCAAGCAGGTCCAGAAGTAATGGAAATGTTGCTGAGGAAATGTTGAGGAACTGCGGCAAATCTGCACGAGCTTGTGACTGAAATGCCATTGACAAACATTTCAATTGGCAGAACTGTGGTGAATCTGCAGGGAGGGGCAGCAGCAAACCTATGCGGCGGTCCAGAACAAGGCCAGTGCCGCTCCAGGGAGGTGGCGGCCAAGCATGTCCAGAAGAAAGATCACCGACATATCATTTCCCACTGCAGCTGTCATATACCATATATCCGGTTACAGATTCCGATGATCTGGATCTCAGATCCGATCCAGATCCGATGAACATATCCATCGTCCGGTCCACAGATCCGCTTTGATTCTTATTTCATTTCCTGTTCATATAACTCTAACTATCGTTCATCTCCTTTCGGTATTCCTGTACACCGGTATACCGGTTATCCTTTACTTCCGCTTTGCTTACTGATCCGCTATGCTTACTGATCCGCTATGCTTACTGATCCGCTACACTTACGAATCCGCTTTTACTTGTACTTCATTCCCGGTTCATGATTCGTGATCCATCCAACTTACCAATACGCTCCACTTAGACTTTGCTTATACTTTCGTACATAGCCTCGCACCTTTGCTTATTGATCATTCCGTTAGCTATCCGTAGTATATAAACCTTTGTATATGCGCTGTAGTAGATCAGTTCGAATATCATCTTAGATTGCACTCATTCCGTCTGGACTCTGAGTCCCTCCGTTATCCATCCGGACTTGAGTACGCTACTCTTGTCTACTCCGAGACTTAGGATAGATTCCTATAGTCTACATATCCGCCTCTGTCTTCGGACAGTCCTCACCCGTTAGTTTCTAGTCCGGATCCGATCCGGATTGGCCGTTACTCTATATGTTCGATATCCGGAAGTCTTAACGGATCCATTGCAATACTTATCCGTTTCACTAGACGCGATACTTTAGCTCTCTGAAATAAGGGGCAAGACTCGGGAAAGGGGCACAGCGCACGAGCTGAGGCCGAAGCCCTTCGGATCCGATACTACTGAGTACGGTCTTAACAGCAGCGGGTGCTCAGAAGCATGAAAGAAACCATCAGAAAAACACTTCAATTGGCAGAACTACACTGAATTTACAGGGAGGTCGAGCACATGAACATCGTTCTGCACCGCTTGGCTGGCAATCAATGTGAGGGACAAGAAACAGTGTGATGAATCTACGTGAAAGTTCAGCACATACTGTAAGTCACCAGCGGCTCCCAAACATCCAGACAAATGTACGTAAAATGATCCTGCTTCCTAAAACACCGCCTCACTCAAGTATATTGAAGTACACATGGCAATAGAGACATGGATGAGCAGAAATCGGTCTAGTTTGGACCCATTCCAGATGCCAATTCACTAAAGACTTGTCCTGCTTCAGAACTACCAGTGGCCTGATTTGAAGAGCCAGCAACATCATTCAATCCAGAGTTCCTGGTGGAATTGGCGACAGATGGTCCACCAACTGTGGACAGACCTGGAGTGAAGTTCAAGAGCATTCATTCCATTGCCTGGACCTGAGCCGGTGTAAAACCTTGGTTGTAGGATGTACCGTAACTGGGGTTAGGAATGAACATGGTTTGAGTGAAAGGGGGGGAGATATGGACACATTGGAGACAACGTGTTGCCAAAGTGCCTCATAGGCATCCTGTAGAACAGCAGTGGTACATGATTGCAAAGCCAATTTCGCCTCTGCAGCTTGGAGCTGTTCCTCTCGAGTCCTTGATTCAGCTTGCACTGCTTTAACATCCTCTTGTAATGCGGCGAGCTCAGTGCGCATGCCATCCAGAGTTTGGATATCGGTGTCATGGGCAGCAAGGCGAACTTTCATGGCTTCAAGAAGCTCAGTTGCAGCGGTGTTACAACCCTTGAGTACAGCCACCTCCATTTTGAGGGCATTTATGCTGGCCTGTAGATCTTCATTCTTCTCTAAGAGCGACACTGAGTTTTCCTTGACCTCCAAGGTCATTGCATGTAACTCCTTCATGACTGCATCCCCTGACACATCCATCTCCAATTCCTCGGCGATTGCGGAATGTCTTATTTCAGCAGCCCATGTTCCCATCTGGTTCCTTGCTGGAGGCATTGAAGGCAGAACAAGTGAGAGTGTGGCAATAGGAGGGACAGAAAGTGCGGGTGGTGCAGCCTGCCCAGCACCATTGGTATCTGGCACCAGCATATCTATGATTGATAGTGTATGCAAAACTTCAGTAGAGAAAATCACCTTCATCTTGGGCTGGTGCCCGTGCACTGGCGTGATGAGGGAGTGATCCTATTTGATCTTAGGTGGGTGCTCTAAGTGTGAACATTTCGATTTCTTGGACAAACATCAGGCACAAGCTCTAAGTATTGTGACCAGACCGTATCCTTGCCTACAGACAAGTGACCTGACTCATTAATAAGGATCACGATCAATCTCTTCAATCACTTACTTATGCTGACATGTGGTACATGGCGGCTCAAACTCTGGCCCTGCACTTTTCTACTCTGAGTTAGAACATCCAATGATTGCGACTTCAGACTCATACTGCAGTAATATCCTCTGTTAGAGCAGCATCCTTGGCATTGCTGACACCATGCTTGGCCATTCCTTCCTGTTGGTCAATGGACATGCTTTGTTGATGACCACTCTTGTGCTTCTTGCCGATGATGGCAGTTTCAGCAACAGGGAGCTCAAGAGAATCATCAAACCAGGGCCTCCATTGGGGGGGTGGCGTCATCCGGGAGACTGGAAGTGACAGTCTGTTTCACTGGCGGCCTGCTGCCACTGGCATCCCTGGGTCTCTTCTGCCATGACTGCATGTGGCCACAGTCTTCTACCATATCATCCAGCGAAACTACTTCCTTTACCTTTCCTTTAACATCAGCTTTCAAAATCACATTGGTGAGTGATCTGTCCATTGACATGTCACTTTCAAGTTCCTCTGAGGGTACAATCTTGCCTTTCTGTTTGCCATCTGAAGTGCTTGTAACATCAGCGACCACCCTATCCTAGGCCGGCTCCTCATCAACAATTTCAATCCCATCACTAGCCAAATTGAGGTCAACCTTTTTCTTTCTGAGCACTGGCTTGGCTTTGATGATGTGCCGTGCGATGGCACCGGCGGACCTGCGGTGGCTGTACTAGTCCGGCAGGGCACAGGCTCTAATGACGGCGATGGGACTGTTGATGGGAGTGTAGATTGTGCTGCCGGGATCACAAAATTGCGTGCCCATCACAATGTTTTTCCATACTGGCATTGTGACAAATGATGTGCATCCAATGGGATCCCAATACTCCATTAACTCCATGGCTGCTGAGAGCAACACCAGGGAGATCTTTGTCGCTGCTTGTCCCATGCTCGGCAAATACTGGAAAACTACTCTACTTTAGGAAATAGCACATGACTAATGAGGACATCCTAACCATGATATTTGCCATCTCCATCACCATGAACAAATGGCCGGCACAACCTTTCTTCCACTGTAACGCTCTAGCAAGGATCTGCACAACCTCGGCAGCAGCATGACCAAGAGCCTGATTGGACACATCTGAGGATGGCATGCTGAGCACAAACTATGGATGTAAAAGAGGGGATAAAGATGAGGGAAATCATTGGGAATATATAATGGATGGAAGCAATTGAAATTTGAAGTCAAGAAACTTTATTGGCAAAGGTACCGGCACCATGAGGTTAGAGAAGGCCATGTTTCGACACATGTGCCAAGTTTCTCATGAAGAAAGCCATTGTCTTGGGCAATGTTTAAACCCTGCTGATGGCCACTACAAACAAGATATATAATGCTGACTGTCGGATGTTACTACATATCTTCCATTTGATACTTCTGATACTGCATCATAAATCATGTCACAACCACATCACCGCCATGTTCGTTTCAATGTACCAATGGACACCAATGAAGAGTCTCTCCATGTGTCATCTACCGGCGGTGAGACCCAGCAATGTAAGTGTTTTCTTATGATACTGGGGTTTAATAATCACAAACTTCTAGCTATGAATTTTGGCTTTCATAAGCCAGCAGCCATTCCAAGGGAGAGTACTCTGGTGGATATACCTGCAGCATCACAATCAAAGTTCAACTTTGGTTTCAGTAGTGCAAATGTAAAGATGCCGCCAGCAGTGCCGGATACCCCTGTTGCAATTCCCCAAAGCAAGTTTAACTTTGGGTTCCTGCCCACAAACACAGACACACCGCGAGCAGTGCCAGTTGCACCTACTGCAACTGCTCAAAGCAAGTTCAATTTTGGATTCATGCCAACCAACACAGACATGCTGCCTGCGATACAAGATGAGCTCACTGCAATGCCACCATGCAAGTTCAACTTTGGGTTCACACCTACAAAAGCAGCCACGCCGCCGGCAGTGACAGTGGCACCGCTCAAATTTAACTTTGGGTTTGCCAGTGAACACAAACCCGAACAGTCACCATCATCCCCGGTTCTGGGGCCATTCAACTTTGGAATGGAGATGAATTCAAGATCGCTAAGATCAATTACACCAACACCGACACCCCAACCAATGAACTTTGGTTGGCAATGCCCTGCTTGCTCCACAACCCCAATGAACCCGCTGGCACCGCAGTCAACTGTGGCCTCCAACTCTCATCATGTTGGGTATGATATGTCCAATGAATGTAAGAAATTTCTTACATCAATTGCATTTCAAAAATTTCACCAGTCTCCCCAGCATTCCAATTTGATTGTAGTGTTTCTCCAGCAAGGGTAGGAAATTGGAAACTGGTCCCCATCACCGCAAGTGCCCCATCCACATCACCAGATACAGCAACCACTCCGCCAGTAACATACACTGCTCAGCCACTGCCCAACACTGCAGGACAGCTGGAACTGCCAAAATGAACCTCCACTCCTGCTGGTGGATCACAACCTGGTCCGGCCCTCCAAACTGTGATCGGCAATGCTGAGAGGGCGGCGATGGACATCATCCAGCATCTCAAGGGAGATGAATGTAAGTGACCCTGCACCACAATGTTGCTTTGCTGATCTTGAACAGTTGATGCACTTGCAAGGCAGATGTTTGGCATTGTAGTTGGCCCCAGTGATGAGTTGTGGCAGCCCACATCGCCAGAGGTTTGCAAACCAACCACATCTTATTGTCGGTGTTGTGCAAGACCAGAGATTGGTTGACACGCATCTTCACCCGGCTGATTTGATCAACCTCCATAAGATTGTGACAGTCCATGCACGTATTGTTCCAGCTGTATCGTCCCTCTCAAGAGAAGTTGAGAATGCAGAAAGCAAGTCCTCTGGCAGCCAGTAGTTACACCATATTGTATTTGTATCCCTGTAGATGTTTGCCACTCAATTCATGACTGTTATCGGCAATGATTGCATTGGCAATACTCTCTTGCTCTCTTGAAACTGGCCTGCATTCTGCAGATTCAATGTTTGCAATGCATTCCGGCGAAGCTTGTTATTGAACAGACATATTATAATTACAATATGAACCAATATGTAAATCAATATTTACTTCCTTGCAGTAGCTTTACTCCTGGTTCTCTTTGCAGGAGTATCACTCACGGGATCGGCAGCTCGGCGTTTCACTCCTGTTGGGTGTTGTTGCAGCCCCATTGCTTCTTGTGCATGCACCCAATGATGTTCCTATTTCCTTTGAAGTGTTCTTCAACTCTGCAGGCCACCTTGCATTGCCAGAACCAGCAACTGCCGGAACATTGACAGTGCCAACCTGAGCCTAAGTTGCCTTCCGGCGTGATTGAGTACCTTTTGACTTTGGCGGTGTAGAGACTCGATCCTGAGTAGCCTCACAATGGCATATATTGCAACATAGGTCGAGTCTACAGTAATATGCATGCAACGCGACACTTGCGCGATAAACGCGACGTTTGCGCGACGCACGCGACATAGGCGACACTTCCGCGACATAGGCGACACTTCCGCGACTTGCGCGCGCTTTAGGCGAATTTTCCCGCGCCTAAGCGCTATAGGGCGCCTGACTTCCCACTGTGTTTTCCCATGTCCAACCAAGTTCCCAGGTATGCATTTCTCCATTTATCATTTATTTCAACATCGTACCATGTTTATTTTCACTTGGTACACATTTTTTCATTACACATTTTTTACACAACACAACACACATTACCACGGACCACCATCATCATAGACAGTCACCATCTCCGAGTTTTTATTATGTTTTGAATAAATCATCGCAAGCCCTAGTAGCAGTTAGCTCTAGTGGCCATATCCGCATCAGTTGTCTTATCAGCATCTCAGTACACGTCTTAACATCTCACTATCGCTCGCATACCGCTTTCACCCAGTTCCGCTTTTCGACGCGCGACTTTCCCGCGCTTCGCGCGCCTATAGCGCCTTTGTTCCCGCGCTTTCGCCTTATCACGCGCTTTGCGCATTCCCCCTAGAGTTGACCAGTGGATATTTGCTTTCTCCGCTTCCCCTAAGGGACGAACATATCGCACTCATATTTTCCTCCCTTCAACAATTATATCAGCTGCACCCTCAGCTGAGTTGAAGATCCTTCAGCGGCCTGGTTGGGCGAGGTGGGGAAATACTTTCCCTCTCACTGATGGACAGTGCACCCTCACCGTTTGAACTTGACAGCTCATCGCTGCCAGCGCCTGTGTCAGAATTCCTCCCTGGGTCGTTCAAACTGACTGAGTGATGGCGATTGGCTATGTCCTTTGGCATTAGTTTGCCACTCCCACAATAGCGCTGATGTTCCAGCGATGGGTGTACAGCTGCCTCATGGATCTCGCCATCAGAATCTTGCCATGCCTTGAATGCAAATGGTGGTTGAATATTGTTTTCTTGGCAGGTGAACCAGAATTCCAAAAGGGTAGTTGCGTCTGCTTTATCCATTTTGGATGGTTCTTTGAACTGCACACTGGTGGGTCATTGGGTGCTATCAAAGAATGACGTTTGGCTTCACATTATATCTCCCCAGGGAACCACCGCCTTCATGTTATCTTCTCTGCCACACATTCCTACTCTAGTCAGCATGGTGTCCCATGTACAGAAGCCGACCACGTACTATAAAGCTTGGTCAAGAATGATCATATCATGTGATGTTGCTCGGCACATTTCCATCCTGTTGTATCTGGCAAGGTTGGCCACCCATTGGTATCTTCCTCAAGTTCAATGAGTTTTCGGGTTACTCTTTTCTTTGACATAACTATCTGGGGCTCTTTGCTTTCCTCAGCATCTGGACATCTGTTCTCAGCATGTCTTCCGGGAGCCTGAGCAACAGTTTCTCACCAAATTGCTTGCCTACATATTCCTGCCATTCCGGCATAAATATACTTTCCTTGTCTTCATAAAGCTTTTGCCGTTTGCAAATTGATCATTGAAGTCATGGCTGCAATAGTCAAATTAGGCACATCAGCAATGGACCAGAGAGACACATACCCTCCCAACATCAGTTTGCCTTTCCTGTTCTTCCATGCGGACAGCACAAAGACTCTCATACTGGCTTTCTTGAACATTTCCATGGCAAAATGCTCAATCATGTTGGCTCCTTTGGTCTCAGTGACCTGGGCCTGGACTTCGGGTGGTGCCGCCTCATTGTCCCACTTCTCTGCCATGGCTTGGGCTTCCTCCTTCTCCTCCGCTGACAAATGATTAATAATGGTCTTTGCAGCCTTTGGCCATTTGCCGATCATTCCTTCACTGCTAGCCATTTCCCCTGTCTCCTCTCGGATGAGGGCATTGTGGGTATGAACTAAGACTTTCCAAGCAGTCCAATGCCTGCCATACTTGATGAGGGACTTTGGAGCTTGTTTCCAGTGAGAGTTGTTCTGCAGCCACTACTTGTAAGTCTGTCATGGATGTGATCAATGCTTGGATGTTTTAGACATGTATATAAGCTGTCACATATCTTTTTTCGAGCTTTCAATAAGGCTTTTCCTTGACTGGAGCTTGGAGTGAGGCTTCCTTGTGGATGGCAACCAACACCCTGGATCATTCTTTTCCTTTGACAGACTTCCAGTCCTCTAGGTGAGCCCTGAGGACTGTTAAGACCGTACTCAAGTAGTATCGGATCCGAAGGGCTTCGGCCTCAGCTCGTGCGCTGTGCCCCTTTCCCGAGTCTTGCCCCTTATTTCAGAGAGCTAAAGTATCGCGTCTAGTGAGACGGTTAAGTATTGTAACGGATAAGTCTTGTATTGCAACGGATAAGTATTGCAACGGATCCGTTAAGACTTCCGGATATCGAACATATAGAGTAACGGCTAATCCGGATCGGATCCGGACTAGAAACTAACGGGTGAGGACTGTCCGAAGACAGAGGCGGATATGTAGACTATAGGAATCTATCCTAAGTCTCGGAGTAGACAAGAGTAGCATACTCAAGTCCGGACGGATAACAGAGGGACTTTAGAGTCCAGAGGGAATGAGTGCAATCTAAGATGATATTCGAACTGATCTACTACAGCGCATATACAAAGGTTTATATACTATGGATAGCTAACGGAATGATCAATAAGCAAAGGTGCAAGGCTACGTACGAAAGTATAAGCAAAGTCTAAGTGGAGCGTATTGGTAAGTCGGATGGATCACAAATCATGAACCGGGAATGAAGTACAAGTAAAAGCGGATTCGTAAGTGTAGCGGATCAGTAAGCAAAGCGGAAGTAAAGGATAACCGGTATACCGGTGTACAGGAATACCGAAAGGAGATGAACGATAGTTAGAGTTATATGAAACAGGAAATGAAATAAGAATCAAAGCGGATCTGTGGACTGGACGACGGATATGTTCATCGGATCTGGATTGGATCTGAGATCTGGATCATCGGATCTGTAACCAGATATATGGTATATGACAAGGACCATGACTCCTGCCTTGTCCAAAGAAACCTTCTTTGACTGTGCAACAACAATAGGAGATTCACTTCTTACCATGTTGTGTTGTGTACGATGATATGAAGGGCGGAAGAGTTGAAAATAGTCAAGATATGCCTTATGGGCACTGCTCGGTTCAGCTCGGTTCAGGATCCTATAATACAGTTGATATTATGTATTTCTAGATGATAATTTCAATGAGCATAAGCATCATTGCTTGCCCCAAAGAACTTTTATATTGCCATACATTACAGGTAAGAGGAATGGGAGGCTCTAGAGTCCAAGAGTGGACATCAAAAAACAAGTATTTGGTTGTTGAATGGAAGAAGACACATTGGACTCGGAGGGTGGTAGGGAAATGGGTGGAGAGACCTAAGATAAGAAGATCAGTTCCACCTACACCTACAAAGTCCCCTGTAAAGCAAGCATCTTATGATATGCTGTACCGTGGGGGGTGATGACTGTTTTGATGATCTTGGAGCAACTCCACTGCAGCTCCCGAAGTCACTGGTAAGCCTACCACATGCTTGGCCTTCAGTTCTGCACTGATCTTCATTCAAGAGTCAAAATGACTATATTCAACAATGGGTGCCTAAGACCAGGACATATCTTAACATACTTCTTGAGAGGGAGGTTCCATCAAATAGGTCCTGTATCATCTGTGGGACAGATGGTGTCCATAAATGTCATGGGTGCTTCAGTGAGCCCCTCTATTGCACAAATTGTTGCAGAATCCAGCACAACAGACTTCCCTTCCATTGGATCAGCCAATGGACAGGTTCCTTCTTCAAGGAATCTTGCTTGGTCAAGACTGAATTGGTGATCTGGTTAGGGCACTGTGTAAATCCTTGCCCATGGGATGATGACCTAGGGGAGGCGGGATTTTTTGCCAATGGAGGGCCCGAAGATACCCATGACTCGGACACTGATAGCACATTGGATGAAGAACCAACTGGTGTGCGATTCACAAAGGAGGCTCACAATCTCCCCACCGGTGTGCCATTCATCTGGAACAGCAAGACAATAACAACAATAGTTGACAAGTCCAGAGTGCATACTTATGTTGTCAAGTATTGCACATGCCCTGAAGCCGCCACCACAGATATACAGCTATTTGAAATGGGTGTCATATACCATATATCCGGTTACAGATCTGATGATCCGGACCTCAGATCCGATCCAGATCCGATGAACATATCCGTCGTCCAGTCCACAGATCCGCTTTGATTCTTATTTCATTTCCTGTTTCATATAACTCTAACTATCGTTCATCTCCTTTCGGTATTCCTGTACACCGGTATACCGGTTATCCTTTACTTCCGCTTTGCTTACTGATCCGCTACACTTACGAATCCGCTTTTACTTGTACTTCATTCCCGGTTCATGATTTGTGATCCATCCGACTTACCAATACGCTCCACTTAGACTTTGCTTATACTTTCGTACGTAGCCTTGCACCTTTGCTTATTGATCATTCCGTTAGCTATCCGTAGTATATAAACCTTTGTATATGCGCTGTAGTAGATCAGTTCGAATATCATCTTAGATTGCACTCATTCCCTCTGGACTCTAAAGTCCCTCTGTTATCCGTCCGGACTTGAGTATGCTACTCTTGTCTACTCCGAGACTTAGGATAGATTCCTATAGTCTACATATCCGCCTCTGTCTTCGGACAGTCCTCACCCGTTAGTTTCTAGTCCGGATCCGATCCGGATTAGCCGTTACTCTATATGTTCGATATCCAGAAGTCTTAACGGATCCGTTGCAATACTTATCCATTGCAATACAAGACTTATCCGTTACAATACTTAACCGTCTCACTAGACGCGATACTTTAGCTCTCTGAAATAAGGGGCAAGACTCGGGAAAGGGGCACAGCGCACGAGCTGAGGCCGAAGCCCTTCGGATCTGATACTACTTGAGTACAGTCTTAACAATGGGCTTGTTTCCGGCATCTTTCTTAGAACCAAAGACAGCATTCACATTTGATGCCCTATGTGACTTCTTGTTGGATAACTTGGAATGTGGGACATCAGCAATGAATTATTACAGCAAGCTGAGGAGGATGACAACCAGTGTCTTTCCACATCTTGTCCCGGTGAGTGCATTGATACTTTGCCATCCATGTCAATAGTATTAATGTGGATGCAGGACCGCTACCAAGAGCTCATGAGGGTGGCAAGACAATGGCGGAAGCTGAATCTCATGAGATGGAATGGCTTCAGCCATCAGGACAAACAGGCCACACCTGGCGACTTGGCTCTGTTCTGTCCAGCATGTCCCCAGCCGGGCATCAATGTCTCGTTGTCAACAGGAGATACTGCTGAGGGCAATGAGTGTGACATGGAAACACTGAGTTGGCTGTATTCAAGATCTCTAGTCATGGACGGCAACTTCAAGGTGGAACATCTCCATTCTGCAAATCCATCAGATGAAGTCTCCCTCATGGACAGCCATGGTTTTATGGTTGGTGATCTCATTTACAAGGAGCACTTATCCCTTGCCAAGGAAGCAGTTCAACGCTCGGAGTGTAATAACCATTGCGCCGTTAATTAAGCAAATGCTTCTCGTCATAGATTGGAAGCCACAGGTATCGGTGGGTGCGCTTGCGCAAGGCATGGCTGTTTTGTTCCACATGCAATGGTGGATTTTCAGAAGGGAGGAAGGTGTGTGAAATACTGCAGCATAAGTTTCACATTGCCGACTGCCATTAGACAGATGAACATGGACTATGCATTGTGTGAGGCTTTGAAACTGAACACCAAAGGAATCTGCCGTGCACTGACATTCTACGATGTAAACTGTCAGTACCACAAGCATCTGAAGGAATAAATCGCCGACAGTCCTATCCTGCAACTCGACAAGGAGTTGGATATTATCCCAGGAATTGGACTTTGGCATGTCCATGGCCATCAAGACCACTGTTATGTCAGATATGCTTCGAATTTTATACAGGGGGCAGCTCGAATCGACAGCGAGATCATGGAGACCTTGTGGGCGCCGTTAAACATCATCTTGCCATTGGAGTGTGGAATGGGTACTCCACATTGGAAAGAATGTCTTGACTACCAAATGAATGACTGCAATTTCATGAAAATTATCAGGATGAGTCGGTAGTCCTGTATTGCTCATGTTCATAATGTTCTAAGCTGAATATACAGGCAAGTTCCTCTGCTGGAAATACAAGCAAGCTCTTAAGGGGGCTGCTGAGAGCCAACTGGCTTTTGAGAAGCTTGACAAGACTGCCAATGATGATAAATCAAGAGATTGGCAAGCCCAAGAGAGAATGGCACAAGAATGGCGCTGCCGTGATCCAATGGCAATGGATATTTATGAAGTCCAACTGCAGAAAGGTGGGTTTCTTTTTGTATGGCAGGCCAGTATTCATGTAGTGACAGTGCCGATGAGAAAGCAGCAGGAATTGCAGTTGTTAATGGTGCAAGGCCAGCGGGCAGGGCCAGCTCGCTGGAGAGGTGCGGTGACATGGCTTGCAGAAGGTCTTACTGTCGAGGAGGCCCAGGTCACACTTCAGATGGACATCAGGAAGCTTGGACGTTGGCCATCAGATACACAGCAATTGCAGTTTGGGCGCTGGTGGGACTCCTTACAGCAGGACATCGATCGCTGGGTGGAGGCCGGCGGGATATTCCTTGGCGATGCATTGGGCGACAATGAGATACAGATCATGGAACTGGAACTGGTGATACTTCAAGATGACTCAGATGATGAAATGCAGGGGGAGCTCAGAGTGTTCGAGCCAGAGAAGGTTGCCATTCCATTGCCTTCAAATTTGGGACTGGAGAGATGTATTTCACTCAGTGTCGCTGATTTGGTGGAGCAGGAACTGACCCTCTGGGAAGGCCAGGCCAATGATGCCCTGCACAATATCAGAGTGCATTTGGCAGACAAGGCAGTTATTTCTGGAAGACTGTCCACTTTGTGAAGTCACAGGCAAAGTCCACCAGAGCATGGGCTCAAGTTCATTCAGTGGACAGGGCAGTCAGCATCAACGCTAGTGTTTATTCAAAGTGTCGGTCTCAACTTTGCTGAAGGAGCATCTCAATGTTAGTACCACTGTGACAATCATACCAGTGCTAGGCGCATATGAGTGTCATTGTCATATACCATATTCCCGGGTACAGATCCGAAGATCCGGATCTCAGATCCGATCCAGATCCAATGGACATATCCGTCGTCTGGTCCACAGATCCGATCTAATTCTTATTTCATGTCCTGTTCATATAACTCTAACTATCATTCATCTCCTTTCGGCATTCCTGTACACTGGTATACCGGTTATCCTTTACTTCCATTATGCTTACTGATCTGCTACACTTACTGATCCACTTTAGCTTATACTTCATTCCTGGTTATGATTCGTTATCCATCCGACTTACCAATATGCTGTACACATACTTTGCTTATACTTCATACATAGCCTCGCGCCTTTGCTTATTGATCATTCCGTTAGTTATCCGTAGTATATAAACACTTGTACATGCGCTATAGTAGACTATAGTAGATCAGTTTGAATATCATCTTAGATTGCACTCATTCTGTCTGGACTCTAAGTCCCTCCGTTATCCGTCCGGACTTGAGTACAATACTCTTGTCTACTCCGAGACTTAGGATTGATTCCTATAGTCTATATATCCGTCTCTGTCTTCGGACAGTCCTCGCCTGTTAGTTTCTAGTTCGGATCCGATCCGGGTTAGCCGTTACTATATACGTTCGATATCCGGAAGCCATAACAGATCCGTTACGAGACTTATCCGTCTCAATATACGCGATACTCTAAGACTCTGAAATAAGGGGCAAGACTCGGGAAAGGGGCACAGCGCACGAGCTGAGGCCGAAGCCCTTCGGATCCGATACTACTTGAGTACAGTCTTAACAGTCATAGGCATATTTTGCCTTGCCTAGAGGAAAAGAGTAAAGTGCTAGTCACCAGCGCTATCAACTCCCAAGCTATCTGCTTTGGAACCACCTTTCTCCCATAGCACGCTACCCAGTCTAACGCCTAGGTATTCCGTCCTCCCATGTCCTGCCTATGTCCACCTATGTCCACTGGTGCATTATTAGTCCTTACATGTTGCTACTGATCAGTCGCAGGTCTTATTACCTGTATCCTCATGTTCTGCAGCGCTGCATGTTTTATTACATGTCGCTACATCATGCCCTCACCAGTGTCGCTACTATACTCGCCTACGCAACTCCAAACCCTTATGCAGTATTATAAAATGACCCATCGCACATACAGTACAGTACTTCCCTTCCACGGACCTTTCCTGGTGTCGGAGTCACTTTAGTTGCTATATCTTAGTCTTGGTGCAATCGATTCCACTCTTGCCAATCTCTCTGATTGTGTGTCGCTTGACTTGCTTTAAGTGTGCGTCGCTAAAGTTCCCTCATAAGTTTGACTTTTGCAATGTCGGGATCGCTATTGGTAGTCGCGCTACAATCTAATCACTACCAGGCATTTCACTTGCACTGTCTTATCTTACTTCCTGCTCTCGCTCCCTTTGATTCCTTCTCGCTGTCGCTAGTCAGACATTGCATAGCGCCTTTCGCTTATATGCATGTTTCTCTGTTGGAACTCACTTGTAGCTGATCGCCACAGTGCTACTCATTAGGTTTTGGTCTTAGGTCGCTATAGGTTTTTAGCCCTTTGCGCTGTTGCTTCCCTTGCTTATTAGTAGGGAGTTGCTTCAATAGCAGTCCTCTTGGGTCGAATACTACGCTTGCGCCTATTTGGATAAGTAGCACTAGTTTCTAACAGCCTAGTCACTATTACTCTTTCACACTGCTGTTGCCAATCCCAATTCTCGGGGGCAGAGGAACAATACATTAGCTTGGTTTTGGTCCATAGATGTACAAGGGGACTCTGATGGCAGTGACTGGTTGAATGAATGTATGTGGATTGCCAGTCAACTGTCTCACCGCTCATCACGCCGACATAGTTTACTGTGTGCATTGGCTCCGCACCAAGGCTATGAGAGATTGTTGGGCAGAAGAATTGCTGCTAGTGCGGCATGAAATAGATTGGACATGTGCCTTTTTTAGTTATAAGGCAGAGGAATGGATTGGTCTCCTAACTATCTCCAAGCAGGAAGAGAAGGAAGGACATGTAGCCTATGTGGTGAGACAAAGCAAAATCTATCAACGCCTACATGCAGAGGCCAGATGTTCATTCGACCGGATCAGGGCTACGTGTTGCTCTGAAGGCCATATTCAATTGTAGGTCCATGTAAATACCACCTCCACTACATACCTGTCACTGTGAGATAATACCCGCCTGGAATCTGTGTTCCAGCCAGCGATAGTGTCAAACCTCGGAAGACAATGTTATATATATTTCATTTTTCTACAGGGTTCTGGCGATATCTAATCTAGCATGTTTCCACCGCTGCTCTCTCACAATTCCAGGCATTCCAATCCTTTCTGACAAGTGTTGCCATCCTAGACATGTTCATTTAGCTGCTGGGGGACATAGAACGGCACACTTACAAGTTGCGCGAAGTGATCAAACATCATATCCCTGAGATTGCAAGTGCTTCGAAGCAATCCTGCGACATCACCGGAAGGAAAGTCCTGAAAGGCAGTATTCCACCAATCCCACTTGTATGTTTTTGCCATACTACCCCTGATCCAGGTGCTAGAGGGCTCAGCCGGAATCTCCATAAATGCTTCATATGTGTCGCTGTCGCAGAGCACACCAAGGAAGATTTTCAGATTCCTGGCCAGCAGCAGGCAAACACAAGACTTTTCACATAAGGCCACTCAAGGCAGGATAAATGACTGCACTGATTAGTATAATGATGCACTAGCGATCGCCACAACTGACCTTTGCCTCCCAGTTGAGGTACTCACCTATAGCACTGCAAAACCTCGCTGATCTAATAAGCTCTTTGTTCAGAGAGGTCCAGGCGGCCAGAAGTCTAGAGCCCGCATATTCCAATGTGTTATCCATGTCAGATAGATCAAAGGCAAGATGCCCTTCAAATTCTGTGTTTGACACCATGGTACAATTAGGGAGAGGCTTTCTGATCATGTTTTATATTCTCAGATGGAGTATCGGAGCTTTAAGATGTGATGGTGTGAAGTAAATTAAAGCACATGAGCTGATGCATAATCAATTGATATATTGTACAGTACATAGGGCTGATTTCTCTGCCCAGCATTCATGGACTGGTCTCCCTTTTCAGAAATTTTGCCAGTTTTTCTGTCGCAGGGATGGCCGCCATAATATCTTCACCCAGCGCGCTCTCCATCTGGAGGAGGCTGGCGGCCACTATTTGTGCCTCTATAACCTTATCTTCCAACATTTTGACAATATGATGTCCTTCATGCTCTACCTTGCCGGTGATGTTGGACAATTGCTGAGTGACTGGTGTGGACTTTGGGATGATCAACATTGCCGGCATGACCAACCCTATTCCTTCAGGCTATAAGGAGTTTGAGCTAGGTTATTCTGAACAGAAAGGGGCGATTCTCATCTTACCAATTGCTCATAATGCTCAGCGATCATTGCCTTCAGTTCGACGCAATTCAGGTAGGAGCCTAACAGGTCCTCATCAGGCATGTCTGCAAATGAACCCTTCCACCAAGCATGCTGATAGGTGTTTGCAATGTGACCTTTCATCCAAGGTCCAACTGGCATTACCTTCAAGGTCATGAATGCATCGTATATGTCCTTGAATTTTGCCACCATATAGAGCTGTTTCATTGCAACCATGCTGATATGATACCGGAGGTTTTGTGACAATGGCAGGCTCATAGATATGCCGCTGCAAAGGCCGATCCAAGGCAATGTAAATGCCTTCATGATATGTAAGCTGGATGTCACAGTTGGCATCGAGTTGACCTACCTCTGCCTCCCAATTCAGGTACCTGCTGACAGTGTTGCGAGCCTTTGGTGAGAGTTTGAGCTTTGTCTTCTCTAGCTTGATGTGAATTGCTAGAAGACGAGATCCAGCATATTCAAATATGTTTGTAAGGTCTGACAAGTCAACAGAAAACTCTGGCTGGCTAGACATGATGTATTTCAACAGTTACAAATGCTTTAAATAAATGCAATTTGTCGGAATTTGAAGTCAATTGCTAATCCCAATCCCGAAGCTGCCAGGAGCATGCTGCCAATACCTACATTGTCCTCTGTGCTTCTAATCAGACTGTCCCTAAGTGGATTTGGCCACGGTAATTTCAGGTGTTCCACAGCATTGAGAAGCCACTGGATATTTATCCAATACACATTTGTGGACTTCCATACATTTGACAATGCGGGGCAGCTATGATGAAAATGGAGATATGACATAATCAGCTGCCACTCACCACAGCAAACTTGGATTTATTGTGTTTTGTTTGTTGCCGTCCCTTGTCAATTTTTAACACATTTGCCAGTACTGTTTTTCGCCGCAATCTATTACTTGCTATCAAATGTTGCACTCTGAACTCTCCACCGCTGCTAACAAGGCATTCAGTGATGCTGCTGATAAGGTTGAACACCTTCTTGTGCGGGCCAGGCAATTACAACCAGCTGATCAACAGCACCTGGGCATCGCGATGGAGATGGGTCAGGCACTGGTAAGTGTTTTTCTTCCATCCTGTCATCGCTAATTATTGTTCCAGACAGCATATTTACGAAGCACAGTGAAGGTGTGACAGTCCTGCCCCTTTGATCTTGTCTGCTGGTGCAGAATTGACCAAGCACTTGGACGACAATGAAACTGGCTTGATCAGCTCGCCAGTCTGGTCAAATATCCAGGTGGATGATCCCCGTATCAAAGGACACCTGCTGTTCACCTCCACTCTTCAGTATCAGCAGCTGGCGTCGCCGCCTTCACCCCCAACCGCCGGCCCATCAAATTCGAAGAGCCATCCACCAACTGATGAGCCTGAAGAACGTGGCCATGGTGTCTTGTTACTTAAGGGTCTTATATATGATGCATATATAGTGACAACACAACTATACAGGATAAGACTTCTTGCCAGTCCTTAAGTACACGGTCTATGACTTTCTAGTTTTCATGGTAGATAACATGCTGAGTTCTTGGGAGGAATGTCTTTCAATATTCTCCTTCTTGTTCCTTGGTTAGTTTAAACCTTGTGGTCTCGAAATACTGAGTGTGAAGTTTGTACGTGTTTTGGCAAGTGTGTGCCTGTGTATTCGTGAAGTGTGTCTCGTGATTCGTGTCTCCCTTCCTGAAAAAGAGAGAGGAAAGTAGTGCTGATGAACTTTAGCTAGGTAGCTGTACTTTGTTATATAGTCAACCCCTGTAAGGTAGTATATAACCTGAATATATCAAGGCTGCTGAATGGCCTGCACTTAGATCTTACTGGTTCTCACACAGTTTGAGAAAAGAGTTACAGTGGGAAGCTTAAATTGCATGGGTGAAAATGGGCTCCTTATATACCTTTTGGGAGGCCATCTTACCAAGCATGATTCATCACATATATTTGTAAGAATGTGCTTACAAACTTGTGTTGAGTCAGCTTGTCTACTAATGTACATACAAAATGAAGTGTAGTATTACAAAGAATGAAAAGTGAAAGCATGAGTCATCACATGGATTGGTAAGAATGTGCTTACAAACCAAGTCCTTAGGTGTGCTGAATCAGCCTTATTACAAAGTGGATTACAAATACAGTTGCAAGTTTTACAAAGCATGACGAATCATGACCAAACATGATGAGTCAAGTTGAATCCTTACAAATCAGAGTATTTCCTAGTCACATGACATGATTACTAACATGCTTGGTAGCTTGAGGAAAAATCTGGTGGCTAAATGTGCCTAGAAAAAATAGAAAGAGATAGAATCTCATGGAACAAAATAGAAATACATAGAAAAAGTAGGAGTGAAGTTTGAAAGTGAAAATACTAGCTAAGAAATGAATGAAAAATGATAAGGTAACTTGGTGATAGGAATCAGTCTGGTGTTTTTTTACCTTCCTTGTCACTGCTGTTGTGTATATGTCATGGTATGGATCACATACCATGCATGACAATGCATGGACAGCACATATTGCAGTAACATATCTCCGTATTATACGAGTGAACGGACGTGCATAATATCCCGTATGATACGGGCCAGCGGACCATGGGCCGAAGGTAGATATATCCTCGACTGTGACGGATGGGCCAGGAGTGTTATTATTCCCGATGGAGACGGGTTGGCCCAGGTGGGGAATATGTGAAGTAGATGGGTGGGCCGATGGACATGAATTTTCAATAGACGGATCGGCCGAGGTAGTTGGATATTATGTAGATGGGTGTACCAAGGTAGATATGTATCAAATAGCCGGGTACATCAAGGGTGCTTGTTATCACATAGACAGGTGGGCCCAGATATATATCATATTAGACGGGTGGGCCGACGAATTAATATTATTTTGTAGACAGGTGGGCCGACATATTGGTATTATTTTGTAGACGAGTGGGCCGAGGGAGCGGTGAAAGATTTATTATATACGGGTGGGCCAATGGTAGACATATATTGCATAGACGGGTAGGCCAACGTAGGGGTATATAATATAAACGGTGGGCCCAGGAGAATGATAATTGTAGACATGATGGAGCTCAGCTAGTTGTATATCATGGAGGTAATAATTCAAAGTCATCTAATGATGTAGTATGGCATGGAGCCTTGCAAAGGGGTGAAGTGGAAACTTGAGCGAAGTGTACCGAGTTCCAAGACCCGGGTCTCGACAAATGAATATGTGATGTCCAGCACACTTCCGATCGTCTGGTATTTCATTGAGCAATATATGATAATAGATCTTTGAAAGCCAACATCATCCAAGCCTACCAAATGCCAAATGCCAAGTTCCAACTACCGAAAATCAAGTGAAGTGTACCAATATCCGAGCCCTGACTATCAAATCCCAACACTCGACCATTGAGTCCCGACTACCGAGTCTTGAAACCCGAGTCCCAAAGCCCGAGATTTGAGTCCTGAAACCCAATGCCCGACCATTGAATCCCAACAATCGAGTATCAAGTCCCGACCAACGAGTCCCAAATATTGAGTCCCGACCATCGAGACCCAACACCCAACACCCAACACCCGACACCCGACACCCGACAACCGACAACCGACAACCGACAACCGACACCCGGCACCCGAGATTCAAGACTCAAGTTCCGACTATGGAGTCCTGGATATCAAAAATCAAGTGAAGTGTACTGAGATCCGAGTCCAACCTGAAGGATTCCTTAGGCTGGACTTCCAAACCTTTGGATTTGTCCTTCCATCTCTATCCAAGCTTAAGGATTGATTCCTTAAGCTGGACCTTTGCCTTTCTGGCACTTCCTGTCTTTCCAAGACTTATGTCTACTTCCTGTTATCTCCGACTCCACCTAAGTGTAGCCTACCTCTGTTTGCTTCTACTCCAGACCTTGTCCATGGTAGCCTTTATTCTCCTGTCCTATAATCCTGTCCACTCCTGCTGACCTCCAGACCTTTGGATCTCCGGACCTTTGGATCTCCGGACATCTTACCCTTCGGATATCAAAACCTTTGGACATTGTAACCTTTGGACATCATGACCTTCAGACATCATAACCTTTGGACATCTTAACCTGTGGACATCTGAACATTCAGATGGCGCAACCTTCAGACATCCTGTCCTCTGGACCACTCCTCCTATCTGATCCTGCTTTGGACTCTGTCCCTTGCAGTCTCTCCTCCATGTGCTTCCATCTAGGAAGCTTACCTTCAGAAGTCTTATCTTCGGACCCTATGCAGCAGGTGAAACTCCTCCAGAGTTTCCTGTACTTCTCTAGAAGTTTCTATACTCCTCCGGAAGGTTCCTGTGCTCATCCAGAAGTCCTCCAGCACTCCATCAGAGTAGCCAGTCTCCGGAAGTCCTTCGGACTTCATTGTATTTCATCTGGACTTCATTCTGAAATTAAGGGTATGTACTTGGGAAAGGTGCAAAATGAAATATACTGACTACCAAGTGCTGAGCACTAAGTGTCGAGTTCCAAGTTCCGAGTTCCGAGTTCCGAGTTCCGAGTTCCGAGTTCCGAGTTCCGAGTTCCGAGTTCCGAGTTCCGAGTTCCGAGTTCCGAGTTCCGAGTTCCGAGTTCCGAGTTCCGAGTTCCGAGTTCCGAGTTCCGAGTTCCGAGTTCCGAGTTCCGAGTGCCAAGTGCCCCGATGCTTTCGGGTATTAACACCCAGATAGCCCTCGCTCTCAGGGGCCCATCAGAATTTAGATCATCTCAAACGGATGTGATTTGAGTGAGATATGAGCAAAATACTATATACCGGGTGAATTTTGGCATCAGAAGTTCGATGCTTTCGGGCATTGACATGAAGATAGCCCTCAATCTCAGGGGTGTGGGAGAATTCAGATTGTCTGAAATGGATATAATTTGAGTGAGATATATGCAAAATACAATATATTGACTACTGAGTGCTGAGTACCAAGTGCCGAGTGCCAAGTGCAGAGTGCCCCGATGCTTTCAGGCATTAACACCCAGATAGCCCATGCTCTCAGGGGCCCATCAAAATTTAGATCATCTCAAACAGATGTGATTTAATGTGTCCCAAGTGCTGAGTGCTGAGTCCCAAGTGCTGAGTGCCGAGTGCTGAGTTCTGAGTTCCGAGTTCCAAGTTCCGAGTTCCGAGTTCCGAGTGCCAAGTGCCCCAATGCTTTCGGGTATTAACACCCAGATAGCCCTCGCTCTCAGGGGCCCGTCAGAATTTAGATCATCTCAAACAAATGTGATTTGAGTGAGATATGAGCAAAATACTACATATCGGGTGAATTTCAGCATTGGAAGTTTGATGCTTTCGATGTTTTGATGTCGGGGTCTTGATGCTTTTGGGCATTAACATGTAGATAGCCCTTGATCTCAGGGGTGTGGCAGAATTCACATTGTCTCAAATGGATATAATTTGAGTGAGATATTTGCAAAATACTATGTATATACTGACTACCGAGTGCTGAGTGCCGAGTTCTGAGTACCAAGTGCCGAGTGCTGAGTGCCGAGTTCCCAGTTCCCAGTTCCCAGTTCCGAGTGCCAAGTACCCTGATGCTTTCGGGTATTAACACCCAGATAGCCCACGCTCTCAGGGACCCGTCAGAATTTAGATCATCTCAAATGGATGTGATTTGAGTGAGATATGAATAAAATACTATATACCGGGTGAATTTTGGGATCAGAAGTTCGATGCTTTCGATGTTTTTAATGTCGGCTCTTGATGCTTTCGGGCATTGACATGCAGATAGCCCTAGATCTCAGGGATTCATCAGAATTTAGATAGTCTTAAATAGATATGATTTGAGTGAGATATATGCACAATCCAAGATACAGGGTGAATGAGTCCCGAGTGTTGAGTGCCAAGTGCTGAGTTCTGAGTTCTGAGTTCCGAGTGCCGAGTGCCGAGTGCCGAGTGCCGAGTGCCGAGTGCCGAGTGCTGAGTGCCCTGATGCGTTCAGGCATTCAATCACTGTCAGGAGGTGTTCCCTCATCCACCTCAGTGCCTTCAGTGTTGCAATCAAGCTTTTCTGCTGTGTGCTGAGTGCCGAGTGCCGAGTGCCGAGTTCCGAGTTCCGAGTTCCGAGTTCCGAGTGCCCCGATGCTTCGGGTATTAACACCCAGATAGCCCTCGCTCTCAGGGACCCGTCAGAATTGAGATCATCTCAAACGGATGTGATTTGAGTGAGATATGAACAGAATACTATATACCGGGTGAATGTTGGCATCAGAAGTTCAATGCTTTCGATGTTATTGATGTCGGGTCTTGATGCTTTCAGGCATGAACATGTAGATAGCCCTCAATCTCAGGGGTGTGGCAGAATTCACATTGTCTCAAACGGATATAATTTGAGTGAGATATTTGCACCATACTATGTATATACTGACTACCGAGTGCTGAGTGCTGAGTTCCGAGTTCCGAGTGCCAAGTGCCGAGTTCCGAGTGCCAAGTGCCGAGTTCCGAGTGCCAAGTGCCGAGTTCCGAGTGCCGAGTGCCCCGAGGCTTTCGGGTATTAACATCCAGATAGCCCACGCTCTCAGGGGCCCATCAGAATTTAGATCATCTTAAACGGATGTGATTTGAGTGAGATATGAGCAAAATACTATATACCAAGTGAATTTCACCATCAGAAGTTTGATGATTTTGATGTTATTGATATCAAGCCTCGATGCCTTCAGGCATTGACATGCAGATAGCCCTAGATCTCACGGGTCTGGCAGAATTTAGCCCATCCCAAATGGATAAGAGTTGAGTGAGATATGAGCAAAATCCCATATACTGTGTGTATTTCAGCATTGTAAGGTCAATGCTTTCCATGTTTGCAATGTCTAGCCTCAATGCATTCAGGCATTCACAAGCAGATAGAACTTGATCTCAGGGGCCTGTCACAATTCAGATCGTCTCACACGGATAAGACTTGAGTGAGATATGAGCAAAATATTACATATTGGGTGATTTTTGATGTCAGGCCTTGCACCAAGGGTAAGCACATAGCACAACAGGAATAAATCCTGTTGTCCTAGTATCCTTATATATTGCATATACTATCGAAGGGATGTTGGGGATCATATTTTGCCTCAAACAGACATGATTTGAGGGAGATATGAGCAAAATACAATTTATTGGGTGTGTCTGAGCTTCGCAGGTTCAATGTTTTTGTTGTCAGCCATGTGTGGGAAAAATTCTAAAACATCAGGAGAAACATAAAAACACATCATCAGGGACTGCATCAGGTTTGCTATGATCACACCTATGTATAATATGATAGATTGGCTTCCAGTGTACTGTTCCAGTCCCTGAAACAGTATCTGTCAGTGGTATGTATCTCTAAATACAAAAAAACTCGAAATTCAAGGCAATCACTGTGCACTGGTGCAAGAAAGTTACAATCACAAGATATATACATCAGCAAAATATGATTTTGCCACACGGTTACCAGAAGGTCACAAGCTTTGACAGTGCTTACTAGACTAAGGATATGATTGTCTTAACTCAATAGTCTTAACTTGCTAGGCATAATATAAGCTTTCTTAATAACCATGACTGTCATATCTTCCATAATAATCCTAACCCTCACAGCTTATGTATTATGTAGTAATCAACAATCATATTAGACTATCAAGTGAAGACTATCGTATAATGACTATCAAGTTAAGACTACTGTATTTTATTCTAAGTCTGTACAATAGACCTGTGATACTTGATGAGTGTCAGCCTGAACAGTATATTAAAGATCACACTATCATACTACACATAGGTATGACTATTGAAGACATGATGTAGTGCCTTATGATGTGTTTTTATGTGTCTCCTGATGTGTTGAGAATGTCCTACATTACCTCATATGTCCATGTGAGGCCATATGAATTCTGTGACACTCCTGACATTAAGGGCTATCCACATGTCAATGAACACAGTCATCTAGGCCTCACATTGAAATCATTGAAAGCATCAAACTCCTGATGCGAAAATATGATCCAAATTCTGAAGGACCCCTGAGAGTGAAGGCTATCTGCATATCAATGCCTGAAAGCATTGAGGCCCGACATCAAAATCATTGAAAGCATTGAACTTCCAATGCTGAAATTCACCTGATATATAGTATTTTGCTCCTATCTCACTCAAATCACATCTGTTTGAGATAATCAAAATTCTGATGGACCCCTGAGAGCAAGGGCTATCTGGGTGGTAATGCCCGAAAGCATCGGGACACTCAGGACTTCGAAGGCACTTGGCACTTGGCACTCGGCACTTGGTACTCAGCACTTGGTAGTCAGTATATGGGATTTTGCATATATCTCACTCAAATTATATCTGTTTCAGACAATCTGAATTTTACCACACCCCTGAGATCGAGGGCTATCTACATGTCAATACCCAAAAGCATTGAGACCTGACATCAAAAACATCGAAACCATTGAACTTCTGATGCCAAAATTCACCCGGTATATAGTATTTTGTTCATATCTCGCTCAAATCACATCCGTTTGAGATGATCTAAATTCTGACAGGCCCTTGAGAGTGAGGGTGATCTGGGTGTCAATACCCGAAAGCATCGGGGCACTCGGCACTCGGAACTCGGAACTCGGCACTCGGCACTCGGAACTCAGAACTCAGAACTCGGCACTCAGCACTCGGTAGTCAGTAAATACATAGTTTTTTGCAAATATCTCACTCAAATTATATCTATTTGAGACAATGTGAGTTCTGCCACACCCCTAAGATCAAGGGCTATCTACATATTAATGCTCGAAAGCATCAAGACCAGACATCAAAAACATCGAAAGCATCGAACTTCTGATGCCAAAATTCACCCGGTATATAGTATTCTGTTCATATCTCACTCAAATCACATCTGTTTGAGATGATCTAAATTCTGACGGGCCCCTGAGTGTGAGGGCTATCTGGGTGTTAATACCCGAAAGCATCGGGGCACTCGGCACTCGGCACTCGGCACTCGGAACTCAGTTCTCGGCACTTGGCACTCAGCACTCGGTAGTCAGTGTGTGGTATTTTGCATATATCTCACTCAAATTATAGATCAAGGGCTATTTACATGTTAATGCCCGAAAGCATCAAGACCCAACATCAAAAACATCGAAAGCATCAAACTTCCAATGCTGAAATTCACCCGGTATATAGTATTTTGTTCATATCTCACTCAAATCACATCTGTTTGAGATGATCTAAATTCTGACAGGCCCCTGAGAGCAAGGGCTATCTGGGTGTTAATACCCGAAAGCATCGGGGCACTCGGCACTCGGCACTCGGCACTCGGCACTCGGCACTCGGCACTCGGCACTCGGCACTCGGCACTCGGCACTCGGCACTCGGCACTCGGCACTCGGCACTCAGCACTCAGCACTCGGCACTCGGCACTCGGCACTCGGCACTCAGTACTCGGTACTTGGTAGTCAGTACTCGGTGATTCGAGTCTCGAGACTCGAGACTTGTGATTCACAAGTCAAAATTTGACACTAATGTGTAGTATCTTATGTATTTCTGTACTCATTTCACTGACTACCGAGTGCCGAATCTCGGGTCTTGGGTATCAGGTCTCGGTACTCAGTACTCGGTATTTCCAGATGACAAAAATGTATATCATCTTAAATTTGAATTTTCTTAACTCGTAAAAATGTATGACTTTCCAGTTGGGTTTTGAATTTTGAGTTTTGAGTCTCTTGAGTCCCGAGTCTGGGTGTTCAGGGCTCGGGTTTCAGGTTTCAGGTTTCAGGTTTCAGGTTTTGGGTTTTGGGTTTTGGGTTTTGGGTTTTGGGTTTTGGGTTTTGGGTTTTAGTACTTGGTACTTGATATTACCCGATATCGGCCCACCTGTCTATGTAAAATTCTGCACTTCGGCCCACCCATCTATCTAATATGACCCCACGTCGGCCCACCTGTCTATGTAATAAATAATTCACCTCACCCTCGGCCCACCCATCTATCTAATATTACCCCACATCGGCCCACCCGTCTATGTAATAAATAATTCACCCCACCCTTGGCTCACCCGTCTATCTAATATTTCCCTACATCGGCCCACCCGTCTATCTAATAAATATTTCACCGCTCCCTTGGCCCATCCGTCTACAAAATAATACTGATACGTCGGCCCACCCGTCTATATAATACTTTTTGCTATACATCTCTCCTCAGGTCTATAATATATGTCAATCCTACTCTACATATTACCCACATGGGCCCACCCATCTCCATAATAATATTTCTCCCGGCCCATCTGCTATCATCGATGATATATATAACATCAGCATAGATGGGCCCACCCGTCTCCATCGGAAATAATATTCCTCCCGGCCCACCCGTCAACATCGGGTATATACATAACATCGGCCCATAATCCGCTGGCCCGTATTACACGGGATATTATGTAGGTCGGGTGACCCGTATAATACGGGATTTGTCACTGAAGGGGCTCTGGACAGTCCGTGGTGCACAAGTTTGGAAACTAATATGAGTGATATCGTGAAGGCCGGTACATGCAGTGCATCAGATAGTTTGACATCATATATCTGCCCCTTTATGGTGGTGCGAAAAGTAACAGTTCCTTTTCCAATTGCGTCCACTGTGGAGTCATCACTGAAACTGATCTTGCGCACTGGATGGATTGCGCTGTGGTGTTCAAGCTCGGGCTAGCCTTGCAGAACCCCATTTCGCTATAGGAGTCAAGCAGCCTAGACATCCCCATCAAACCCATACACCACTTCCTTGCAAAGTCTCGACTCACTCAACTCACCTGTGTCGCACCGGTCTATGTCCGACTCAGCCAATACGGATCCGTGGCCTCGGTCTCTCACAGAAGAGCCAGGGTTGTCTTAACCGTCCCTTGCTCATCAAATCGGCCATCGCGCACCTCAGCCGACCGTTCCGTCCCATCGGTACCAAATCCTCCCATGTCCTACCCATGTCTGCCTATCTCCATTGGCGTTATTACATGTATTCCCATGGCTGCAGCACTCGCGAGCCTTATTACATATTGACCCGAGTACCTCGCGTTTCGCTACTACTCTCGCCTGTGCGATTCCAGACGTTCACGCAGTTAGATAAATAGGACTCAAGTTCGTATTATCCCTTACTTCCCTTCCTTGTACATACCTGGTACTGTTGTAGGAGTCACCTTAGTTAGCCCTCAATTATGCAAATAGATCCCCTTGCTTTTTATCATCGGATGTGCCTAGACCGCTCTAAGTGCACTCTATCTGAGGTTTCTTTACCTAGGCCTTGTAAAGATCCGGACCGCTACCGGTAGTCTTACATCGGCAACCCATACCTAGTCTTACCTCGTCATACCTAGTTATACCTGGACTCTCTTTCCTCGGCCTAGACTTACATGCCGCTCATCGGCATCAGACTCCCCACCTCGCCTCGGTATCTAGCATCGGCATCTTGCATCGGTATCTCACGCCAGGTGTACCATCGGTATCCCATATCGCGTCGGACATTTTCGGACTCGGACCTTCGGTCGGTCAGATATCTCAGGCCATAGAGCTTAGTTCTTCCTTTCTCTTCCCTCGCACTATTCGAAGGAAGTGCTTCAATAGCAGTCCCCTTGGGTCGAAGTACTGCACTCGCACCCATTTAGATTTAGTAAGTTAGTTGGTATATCTAGCTGATTACTATTTCTTTCACCACAGCGCGATATGTTCCTGGTTTGAACCAAGTGCGGTGTGGGACCATGTGTGATGAGGCGCCTGAATCGATGATGATGTCCAAACAATCCTTAGTGACAGACACAGAATAAGCCTGAACGCGCTTTGCCAAAGCCTTAGAGATATGTACATGTTCTCTAACTGTGGCGCTCTTGGTGTCTACTTCAGAGTCCGAGTCCACAGGTGAGTCCGCTTTCTTTACCTTATCCTTCTTTTCTTATCTCCCCAGTTTGGCTTCTTTCCTTCCTTGAGTGCGCGGCTCTGCTCCTTGATTGCATTGCAGTCACATGTATCATGCGTAGCTGTCTGATGGAGCGCGCACCATGTCTCAGGTTTTGCACTTGCAGCAGTATGCGCAGTTGAGGTATCAACAGGTTGGTGTGCGACCTCTGCAATGACTCTAGTTTCAATTGCATTGAAGGTGAGGTCCTTTTCTGCGATGGTGTTGAGAACAGAGGAGGCAAAGGTGTGCCAGTCAGGGGTGTCAGGAAAGGAGCACATAAGCACAAATGCAATGATTCTGGAATCAATTGCAAAGTGCGTGCCTGTTAGGCATGACTCAAGACTGCGAAACTTTGCAATGTGGTCGCTAGTCTGCACAGTACCATCCCACTTCAAAGCAATGAGTTGTTCAAAGGTATAGAAGGCATTGGCGACACTTGACGTATTGTGAATGGTTGCAAGTTCGTCAAAAAGCACTTTTGCTGTCACACATGCTTCTGTCTTCATGAGGAGCACGTCTGAGATATGATCTTGGATGATACCATGTGCTTTTCATTGCGCGTGGCCCATGAGTCTGTCGTGCTACTGCTAGTGATTGATGGAAGTGGGGCAGAAGAGGCTGAGGCAGTGGAGACATTAGGAGCAGTGGCAGGAGCAGTAGTGGCAATGGTTGGATCAGGATCTGCACCTGTGACAATGCGCAGTACTTTCTCTCGGCAAAGTTTTCCAGTGATGCGAAGTTTCCATAGCTGGACATTCTCTGGGCCTGTAAGGACTGGGGTTGCAAGGGTGTCGCTGGTGGAGGATGTCATGTCTGAGAGGTGCGCAATCTCATGAGTCATTTCTGAGAGGTTGCTGGCTAGTTAGCATAACCAGGGCTCATAACCTGACAAAACTAAGTAAAAGCGGTGTATACTGCACTCAGCCACTATCCAAAGGAAGGATGAGAGAATGACTGAGGGAAAAATACACAACAAGGGTCCATTATATGATAGGAACGAGCTCACTAAGATACCATGAGGCTCGCTTAAGAAATCCCTAACCTCTCTGCTATTACATGTACACCCGAGCACCTCTGAAGCGCACTCAAGCACGTGCATGCGCAGCAAATGGTGAAAGTGCGCTTAAGCGCATTGAAGTGCATTGAAGTGCATTGAAGTGCATTGAAGTGCATTGAAACGCGATGGAGCACGTTGAGAAGCACGAAGCATGATGAAGTGCGTATGTACACAATGAAGGCACAGAGTGCGCATTCAAGGGCGAACTCATCTGGTTTTGTCAAGCACTCTGGTCACTTGCCTGCATATTGAGGGGGAAAAACAACTAGGGAACTCACAATATTGAATTTCTTGCTTTAAATTTGGCGCAGAGTACACAAAATCAACCACTGAGATCACGCTACCAGTAGTAATGAATAAAATTTGCTTGAAGTATTGCTTGAAAGATACCTGACATTGAACATTATTGCTTGAAAGATATCCGACGTTGATGGTAAGTTGGTAACAACATCAGCTTATTGGTGGCACGATGTTGCTGAGCTATAATTAGATCATGTTCAGTAGTAATTTGCTTCCAAAATATGTACTTGCATTCAGCATTCGGACACGTTCGAACAGGTTCAAGACAGACCAAGCAGTGTTGAACAGAGAACGGGACCAAGGGTTCAGTTCACCAGGTCCCTCAAACACCAGACTGAACCCACGGTCCGGTCCACCAAAGGTTCGGTCCGAACCAAGGTCCAGGACTCAACTTCTGCATCACTAATCATATTGAGACATGCAAGCTACAAATGCAGCACAGAGTTCTTCATTGCATTCCGAAGCAATACATTTTAGTTTCTTTTGGCTCATACCAGCACATTCGAGTTCATTGAAGACAGTGGTGAAATGAATAGATATGAAGTGGTTGGTTCTCATGAGGCTGACGAGCTCATCAAGGAAGTAGTTGGGGTTGTCATGAACAAGTTCTAGGAGATATTCAATGTCTTCACATTCCAGACGATGCACATGGCCACAAAATCCCCTCAGGTGATTGGCAACATCACCAGTGTCTCTCAACAGCCTCAAGACAACCGTGACATGGTACCACGTCCATTGTGAGAACCCGCAGCTAGGGAACTGCACGGGTATACCCCCAGGTATCAACAGTCAAACCTGTACCCGCACCCAGAGATATACCCGCACCCGCTGTGCGGGTATGGGTTTTTCGATGGGTACTTACATAACAGACTGGTGGGTATCTGTGAATTACAACTATGAGATAACAAGTGTATAAGCTAGTCTGAAATACTGTCCCATCCATCAGCCATGACTTCATCTTCCCCCACAACATCTGGGAGCTTTGATACCTGAATCATGTCATCAGACTCGATGAGGCCCAACTCACTCCATAGGCCAAGACAAAGAAGTCCGCATGTCGACTGAGCTGACAGACGGTTTCTGACATGTGACAAGATGAGATGCCCGCAACTGAACAACTGTTCTACATCAACAGATGTTGCTGTGGGCCAATGTAAGCTTGCAGTGCATTAAACAAGTTAGTTACATACCAGGGATGGTAAGATAGTCGATAGCCATGCGTGAAAGCCGGGGGAAAGACTTCTGATGTTTGTGCCACCAAGCGATAGGGTGAGCGACATGTTCCACATCCATACTGAGGTACCGGTCGATTTCGGAGTCTGAGTTAACAGGTTTTTGGGGTGCAAGCGCTGGGAGGTTGTCAAAGATATTATCACTCTAAGAATTATTTAGTACAGATGTGAAATAAAGAATAAAACAAATCATACCATCTGTACATTGTCATTTGACTCGAAGACACCATCCTTGGACTCCACATCAGAGCCGCCGTTGATCAATAAGTACGAATGTTTGAATTCTTCATGCACAAGTCTCTCTGCCGTTTTGATCCAGTTGTCTTCTCATTGTGCTGCTTTAAAGTATGTTAGTTTATGCTGTGGATGTAAGACTAGAGTTATATATATGTCAATCTTTTAAAAACAAAAACAAAAATGGAACATTACATACCCATTGCGATTCAATATGTCACAGAGTTGTCTGTGAGCTGGTAATAGCAGTTGAGGGTGTTCTTAGCGAGCCGAACTGCAGAACAGATTGAGAGTATATATTTTCTGTTGTAGGAGTAGAATGTGAGCATATTATCGATGTGATCCATTGCTGGGATCACGGTCGTAAGGTTGGGTGTTGTGCATGAGAAGTAGAGTGTTGCATCCTTTAGGATCTAACAGATGCAAACAAACAATGTTAGTATGCAGTGTGACCGAAAAGGAATGCGCTGACCTTCAGTACATCTCACAGCTGTCCTAGCATTAGCCACTCATGATCTTCTAACTCAGACTTCCGCAAACCCAACTCCCGCTATTGAGTAATGGCATTCACGGCTTCTTGATGCTCAAGGGCATAGTCCAACATATCAAATGTCGAATTCCATCAAGTCGCCACATCACGTGGCATGAGCGTTTGCGGGTGCGCCAGGTCCTGGAGGATGCTATTCCATGCAGGAAGGAGGATGGTAGTCGAATGGATGATTTTATATGTGAGTTTGCGCAACTGGGATGTGGATTGGGATCAATGGTGAGTTTTTAACAGTTTGATGGCACTTACTTTGGCAAGCGCTAATTTGACTGGTCAGATATCTTTCTCTAGCACTACTCGTTCTTGACCGTCCAACAGCTCAACCTCATCAACAAATCCGTTGTCGTTGTCTACATCATCTCCAATCCCTGCATTCTGTTCCTCGATACCTGTACTCAAGTCTCTCAGCTCATGATCGGCATTCTTGGTGTCCATTGTCTTCACATCAAACTCTCGGATCAGCGATTTCGCCACCAGATTGATGGTGTGGAGGAAATATCTAGTATGAGTTGTTCCTCCACCAAACTCAAGTACCTTACCACTCAGTTCACGAATCATTGCGTCGTTGTTGGACAAGTCACACTGAGGAGCTGTGCATCATGTGTTTAGCTGCATGTATGTTTTTTTTTTTCAGTTTGAACAATACCTTCGCTGATATACTGAATTCCTCTAGCATTTTTGCAAACGTCTCCGCAAGCTCTTCGCCGGTGTGGGACTGTGGTCTCATTAGTTCATATACACACACTAGATTGGTAAGTTTCACACCGTTGCAACTTCAATAACATCTAACAGTATACTTAGTGGTTCCCCTTGGTGCTCAAAGTGGGCCGAAAATGCTACCAATGCGCAATGGTTGGGTGATGTCCAACCATCCATAGTAAAATTGATCTTGCCATTGTATTCCTGGTATGTTTTTAACTTTTGATTGTTCGCTAACGAAAAAAACACTCACCTGTAACATTTTAGCAACCTGTTTTTGAGTCTGTGCAAAGACGAGTCGCACATCGCGAGAGACAGTGGATGGGGAAGGTATGTGGTATTCTGGCCTCCCTGTTTTCATCAGTGACTGAAATGCATGATCCTTGACGATATCAAATGGACACAGGCTCTCGGATACCCAACGCACAATTTCAGCCCTGAAGGTGCCATTGTCAGACTCCTGTGACTATGACTATGACTGGAATATGTTCATACCTTGTTTCTGTGCGAGTGTGTTGACAGTGTGAGTACGTGATTTTACCTTTGCCTTTGCGTTCAAAGGATGCAGTAATAGATCCATTTCACAGGATACTATCGACAATCTTGTTGTGCACTTCCCTTGCATCCTTTGCACTATCTGCAGCTTTCAAGACTTTGTCTCCCCAGCACAAGCGCACATGCTTCCGCATGTTGCCTGTGGATCGTGCATCGCCCTTATCGAGGAAGTGTCGCACTTTGACCTTGCAACCCTTTGCTTGGCGCTTGAACTCGTGTGCACAGCGGTCAGCGACTTCAAAAATTTGTGGTGTTGGCTGAAAAAATGCATAAACCGGTGAGTTCCATTCTTTCATTAACCGCTCTGTTTATGCTCAATCAATGCGATGATAATGTATAGGTCGTTGGACTTACTCAGCTTGTCTTCAGGATCTTCGTTGACGTCATCAACAGGGCCATTATGGTCTAGGTCAATATATTCATGCAACACATTCTCCTCCTCTTCCGTGTGCACAACGGCACGTCTATTCACACCTGGAGGTGGAGTCACATTCTCCTCCTCCCCCTCCTCCCCCTCCTCCTCCTCTGTATGCACAACAGCCTGCCTACTCACAGCTGGAGGTGAAGTCAGCAATGCTGTCCTTGGTCCATCTTTTTCCACAGGTGTGTTATTAGCTGGAGTCATGTTTTCAACTGGTAGGTTTTTTTTTTGCCTTCTTTGGCAGTGAATTAACGCTATCTCCACTGCCATCAGGTTTTCACTTCTTTGAAGAAGCTTTCTCTTCAAGTGCGGCTTTCGCTTTGCCGGTCATCTTGACGACATGTTTTGCTGTAGCCGCGAGAGTATTGTTGAGCTGCATGGTGGGTGGTCGTACTAGTGGATGATGAAAATTTGCAGGGCTGGATGTGTCACGCTAGTAGAATATTGTAGCACCATTTTGTTTAAAATTTGACTGTTTGCAACTGTATGGTAATGCTATTTTTAGTAAATCAAATGTTACGCATTGCGTGGCCTTCTATTTTAATCAAAACCCAGTGCAAGGGTACGGGTAGGGGTATGGGTGTCACAATGCCTGACCTGTACCTGTACCCCACACATACCCATACCCCGCACCCGCATGGGTATACCCATACCTGTGCAGTTCCCTACCCGCAGCAGTCAAGAATGTCCTGGAGGTTCAGTAAGTTGTGCTCATAAAGACAGATGGCTGCTCGTTTGACATCGTTGCTGATCTTGCAGAATGCCATGATGCGGCAGAGGCTAAATTGTATTTTGTGTAATTTACAAAAAAAATGATGCCACTCCCATCATATATTAAAACAGCTGTAATTGCACAATGTGCCACATCCCCAAAGTTTATACAAAGTATTTGCCCCAACGTTTGAGGTCCCTCTTTTCTTCTTCCCTTCTTCCACACCATCTTCCTGCTGCTGTTGACGGTCCTCTGCATATCCACGAGTTTATTCTCCTTGTGTGTTAGCTAGTGGGCTGACAACAAGTAAGTCACAATTTCCCTGTCTTGTCCTGGTTCAAGTAGTGAGAGGTACGTGACTTTGTTGCTTTGTGTGCATATATTCAACAAACGAGTTCAATGCCCACTACAGGACATTGACGTCAGATCAGCTTGGGGTAAATCGTCTTCTTCGAGTCTTATATGCGCTGACTAACTCTTATTTGTTTGATTTTCAGAAATACAAGCATCAGTAAATCATGAGTTCACTTCTTACCTACTTATGGCCAACTTTTTCGCACGACACAGTGGGACGTCATGTCAAGGCAACAAAAGTGAACGCTGCTTTTTTCAGTAGATCTCTCACCTCAAATTCAACTTTTTCTCAACTTTTAACAACTTATTTTATGGCGTGAAACGGCACATTAAAAACTGTCTGAATTGAAAATAAGTAGTCCAAAAGCGCGAAAAGTGGAGGCAAAAAGCATCTAGAAAGCGGTTCAAAAGCGCGAAAAATGGAGACAAAAAGTAATCTAGAAGTAGCCCAAAAATACGGAAAGATGGCTCGAATTACTGGTCCAGGAGGCGGGGGAATTACAACAAAGATGTGTTAATACAATGACAGATGATGCAGGACAGAGGGACGAAGCCGAGAAGTATTCTGTTGGACACGCAGTCAGTAGAGTACATATCAAGTAAAAATGACTTACAGAGCAGGGCACATCCGCCCATCGGCTTTAGCTGAGAAGGAGCATCTTGGGCCATTTCCTGCCGCTTCCGCACTAAGGCAATTGTATCCATCGTGTACTTCACCCCTCGCCTCTTGAGGGATTCGTAATATTCCGATGTCGCCGAGCCGCAGTTAGCCTCCAAAAAGGCTGATGCTGTAGTGGTGTCTTTACCGGTTGATTTGTTGCGCTTCAGGGGTGTTTTGCGGGCCCTAATGCTGCCCTTCACGCTGTTGGTGCCAGTGCTGAAGTCATCGGTAAAGTTTTTTGGCTTTGCGGCGAAATTGAAAGCGCGTTCGAGCTGCAAAAACAAACCATCAATTAACAGACACGACCTACTGCAGCAGCACTCGCAGCGATTATAGCTTGCATGCCCTTCACTTGTAGTGTGTCTGTGTCGAGTGCCGGTACATCGAGGAATCCAGCAGTTGCGTTGATGTGAGCAGACTCGATCATTTCTATCATGAACACCAACCGGTAGATCTTGTTGGGGTCGCGATTCTCTGGATCCTCATAGAGGAAAGCCCAATTCTCAAGAAGACTTGCCGCTAGTTCCTGTTCATAGTCAGCGTCATCATCATCATCAGTCTCGTTATTTTTGGAAGTGGCCAAAAAATTAGTGACGAGGGCAATTGCTGTTGATCTGAAATTGCTGTGCCAGGAGCAAAGGCATTGATTCACCTTCGGGTGCAAAATTAAAATAGTCGGATATGAAAATAAGAGTGAGACATACCAAGCCCATAATAGGGCCTTTTGGTTGAACATTGTAATCTGTTCCTGGAAACGCAATATTAAAAATGGCCTGGAGTGCTGGAAGTAAATTTTCGGCCTCGATGGACCAAAAATTTGGCTGGGCGCCTGCCCAAAGAAAAACTGTTGGGATAAAGCTCCTGTGCCATGCACTGTCCTCCAGCATAATTGGTGGGAGATCCGTGTTTCGCCACTGACTTCCAGTTTTGGGCCTCATCGCCATGTCAGCAGACATCAAGCTGGGTTCAGAGATTGTCGGAAGGACCGGTTCCAATTTCGGTTTCTTGGGTGGGTTCGGTTTCGCGGTGCCAGCGACTGTCACACTAGTCTAGAGTATATATTAGCATCATAAAGATACATAAAAAAACACTTACCTTTGTAGTAGTGCGCGTTTGCTCGGGGACCCTTGTGATCAAGGAAGATTCTTCATTGACTAACATAGGGTCAATAACGAACTCCTCCTCCTCCTCCTCCTCCTCCTCCTCCTCCTCCCCCTCCTCCTCATCGTCTTGATTGTTGTCTTCGGAGGAGCCTATCAACTCGGCTTCCTCAATCGTTCTCTTCGTGGACGAGACTGCGCGAGGTTGCCGGGCCTGCTCCAGAGCAAATCTTACTATGTCAGCCTGTTGACTAAATGGCAGTAGATTAAATGGCGTGGATACAGGAACATCGGACAATCCGCCATCTGAACTCTCAGCGATCTGTATGATAGACTAAGACAAACTGATGTGAGTATGCATCAAACGAAGACGAGCGACTCACCTTCATTCCCAGCTTCCCTTTTATATCAGTAGACAGGTGCTTTTCGAAATCTTCATTGTCCCCATCTCTATCTTCTTCATTGCCTCCATCCTCGCCATTGTCCGATACAGAATCATCTGACAATCCGTCAAGGAAAGGGGTGGGTCTTTTGCAAGCGAGACCATGGTTGCTGCAGTCTGACTTGTCTTCAGGGTTGTCACTGACAAAACAGAGCCACCTGAAGGTTCAGTTTCAGGTCTCACGACAGGGGACACTTTTGACTTTGTTTCAGGTTCCATGTGAGTGCGCCAGTTGTTGACCTTTCCTGTCAAACCAAATTTCTTACTACTAAGTGCCCAAGTCAAGGTCATAAAGCGCAGCGTGGATTCAGTGAGCATCAACATGATGGTGAGAAGATAAATTCACTGATGGTAAAGGATTTCATTTCTTGTCAGTACCAGTCCCTTTGACTCGCTGATCGCTGCCAAGGATTGTAGCACCGATTGCCTCATGCACCTTCTTGATCTTCTTCGGCGGCTTTGCAACCTCGTTCCTAACCGCTTCAACATCTCCTTCACCCCGGATCACCAGCATCCTGGTCCTTGATGCCACCTTGACTCTGAGCCGGTGCTGGAGGCACAGACAGACTCCCAGAGGTAAGTTCACTAGCTGCACCTACCTTATCTGTCTTTTTTCTTGACTGGCCTAGCATGAGGCTTTACTGGCTTCACTTTTGCAGTCACCTGGATGCCCTGCTCCACCTCCATGGCAGCCTCAATGCTTGCAATACAATCGATTCCACGCTGCAAATTGGCTTCCTGTGCAGCCTGCACATCTGTGGCACGCTGTTTGTCCTCCTTGATCTGGGCTTTGGTGCGTCGTTTTTGTTTACCTTCAAGAAGCACAAGCCCAGGGCGTTGTGTGGGCGTTTTTGACACGTGTACGGCGAGGAGAGAGGGGAGGTGCCATGGC